TCCTGTGTTGTGCGCAATAAAGCATATTATTATTATAATTTTTCTTTTATAACAAATAAAATACACTTTATGACATGGCCCATTTCAACTAAAAAAAAACCAAAAGATTGCGTATTTAGAATTAGTTCAAAATCTCAAAAGGAAGATTTTCAATGTTCAACGAGTATGTAGGCATTACGCTGTGATGTGTGTTTTTTATGAAAGCCATAATTAGTAGGTATTAATGAGTAAAGCATGTCCCATAAAAAAACATAACATGTACAAAAAAAACTGACTGCGTAAAAAATAATTTTAAAAAATACATGAAAAAATTAACTTAAGAGTAAAACTAAAAAGAAAGAAACAAGCCCAGTAGTTTAGAATTCTGTTAAGTAATACAGAGCAGAACGAGTCATAGTCGGGGCCCCTTGGGAAGATTTGATTGGTAAAATTTATGATAATTACCTAAGTACTTTTAAACCAATAAACCACAATAACTTTAGATAGAACACTCTTTTACCATGCTATGCGTTATTCCTAGATCTATGACAAGTCTGGATAGCTGCTCTCTAGTTGCTGCTAAGCTGATAAATAGCTTTTCCGAAGGTTTTCCTTATCATAGATTTTAATTATGTATATTTTATTAACCCTTTGGGTAGTGTTCAAATTCTCTTTGGTTTTGTAAAATTAAAATAACATATTAACAGATGTTCTCAAAATGCTCTACAGTTATATTTATTGCAAAAATCTAAAAAACGGGACAAAAAAAATTATAATATTAGACTTTGTCCTTACTTCATATACAAGATAATAACAGTGTTCATAAATTGGAACCTGTGGGTTTGCTAGAAGTACTTTCGAATTTTGATGATCTATGAGTCAGTGACAAATTTAAGATATTTTGAATTGAAATAATTCTAAAAGTACTGTTCAAATTTAATGTAATTTGGAAATGCGCCTCGTTATCACTGAAAACTTAGTTCACTGAAAACTTAGACTTCTAATTTTCTCCACAACGAAGTTACAGGTGATCAAAAAATGGCCAGAATGGCTTAGAGAAAAGGATGGCAAGGCCTTGCCCTTTTTACACTTTTTGTTCGACTTGGTGGGGGCACTTCCATGTCCCCAGATGAATAGGGGTAGAGGTGTATTCATCGATTACCTGTTTCCCCGCGACCGCGTTTAAATGATAGCGTATGTCCACCGCATATGAATCGGTCCAATAGTTTCGGGGTCTATCCAATGCAAACTTGGAACAAATAATGGAATTATCAATTATGTTAATTATTAAATGTTTACTATCTGCCTGCATTGTGGTGGTGCGTGTCGCGTTTGTAGTGAATGTGCGTGGAGTGTGTGGCGCGCACGGTGTGACGTCACAGTACCATTTCTATTTTGGTTATAGTTGAAATGCGTCGCCGCTCGAGTGTCGCAACCAAGGTCATGGGTCCCCCCCCCTCCGGTCCTGGCCCTCATTACATATTTTACGTTCCATTCTACCACTATCTAATCATATTTATGTTTCTCCTTTATTGTTATGTTCTCTTTCAACATCAATTGACTCTTTTTTAGATTGTCATAATATATTTTTAGAATTCCGTACCTCCGAAGGAAACGCGGTACCGTTAAACGATTATTCGCATGTATCTCTGTCTGCCCGTTCGTTGGTTTTGATCCGAAACTATTGGAGCGGTCGAGATGAAAACTTTTGTAAACCGTGTGACATACGCAAGGAATCATGAAACATTGTTTTCATCGTCGCTTGTTTCGATTAAGACATCATGTTTCATAGTAATATTAACTGCCTAAGACTTACACAATTTGTATCTTATTAAAAATAACATTTTGTTTTTAAAATTTTTTTAATGTATAAATGCAATTTTTTCTCAATAAAATGGATAACATGGTTCTCAAGAACACATCGTCGTATTCATAGTGTTCCACCCTGTATATCTACAGCGTGTCCCAACCACCCCAACCCCAAATATCCAGTAATCATGGATTGTTCTGCATTATAGTAGTGACGCAGACGGCATTGTGCTGTCTCACGTGAGGTGTGTTGAGGTTTGTCCGGCGACGGCAATAAATAGCTTGAGGTCGTCTGCCAACTGGTTCCATTCATCAATGTGGTTACATCACACGTAATGAGAGTAACCAACATTTGCGTAACTTGTCTACAAGGGTGACGCACCCTTCACTAAAATAGAAGCTTTGGTACCTTACACACATAGACACACTTATAGTGATACTCTAAGTACGCACTAATTAGCTTTGAATAGTGCAATGTATGATCAAATTTATAAAAAAAAACTTGAATACAAAAAGTGTCAGTTAAAAGCTTTGTTTTTTAGTCTTTACATATATCTATATGTCGCAGCAAATTTGATTATATCTATCAGCTGACCAATTGGGCAGCATGCCCTTTAATTGAATGGCGCTATTAAATTGCACACCTTTCAAATTTTGAATGAATAGTAGACATTTGGACCGTTTAGCAAGACGGCTGATTTAAAAACCGCCGAAACGTTACTTTGACGTTTACACCGTAAACGATCTCTTGAATAATCAGAAGTCAATTATTCGATCAATTAGACTAACGACTCTTTCGAGCTTTAACTAATGGATTATAATGTTTTTCTTAGTTTTTAAAAGTGCTGCAGTAATAGTGTCGTTTTCCGCATGAAATACTGCATAGTTAGTTTTTTTCTAATAAAAAATGTATCTATTCACGATTACATGCTCAGTATTGTCTGTATGTGTAAGTTAGTTGTAATCGGACACTGGTCTTTGTTGGTGTTCGCACGGTCCCTCGCACCGCACACAATGCGCCCGCGCCGGCGGCGTGTATGTACCGCTGTCTCTCCACACGCCGGCGGCGCCGTACCCACGTAAACAATATCTGTTGAAAATAACAAGTTAATTCCTAAACATTGTCCATTACCGGTGAAATTGTCTATCTTTTGTATATGTCAATATGTTTTATCCGTTTATAGTCTTGCTAAGTTACGATGTTAAAGTTGTTCTGAACTTAATTAATAAATAAGTTAAGACGACATACATACATATACTTATCTGATTTTTGTACTTCGTAAATAGGGATAGGGAAGTTTGTTAAAAGGCCAAATTATTACACAAATGGCTCCAGTTATTATCTGGGATCACGATGACTTCGGAAACTGTTTAAAGGTTAACTTGTTATGTGCAAATAAACATTAGGTACTGTAGTTTCATTTATGTATGCAATGTTAGTTGTTTAATCAAAAATTAACTCAATGGACCCCTGTAAGTAGGTGTAAGTGATGTATTGAACTAAATTTTATTGTCTTTGTAACTATTATATCAATTTAGTTTATGAAGACAAAATAATTTAAATTATAAAATAATGTAATTGTGTAATTCCTAAAGAGTGTAAAATCTATCATATAATATTTATATGTAACAATATTTATTTTAAATAAATCATTATATTTCATAATTTGTTTGCTGTTTGTATTTTTTAAAATTAATTGTGAAAATTATAGCTTTTCAAAATATTTCATGACAAATTATTAGAATTATTGATAAATAACACATTCCATATACATAATACTACCTTGTGAAGCGAAGAGGTTATTTAAAAATACTGTTATTTTAAAAAGAAGTTTTAATTATTATATTTCATTAATAGAATATATTTTCCAGAAGTTAAGATAGTAAATGTGGGGTCTATGAATGACGTCATTAGTATATCATCCATATGCAATATCATTTGTGTGCTGTATGTTTTCGTTTCATAGGTAATACTTTAGTTTCATAATAAACATTATAATAAATCATCGAGATGAGCAGTTTAGTTGTTGTGATTAATAAATGTATGTTTTTGTTAATTAAGCTTTTCATCAGCTGGTCGCTGATAATTTATGAGCAGTAATCAGTTTATATTTGCGACTGGCTGTAAGAAAAGAAACGTTCATGTAATAGTAGCATAATTATCACTATATTCTTCAGCAGCACATAAAAATCATTAAATTCTAGTTGAAGTTTGTGTAAGTACGTGAGGAATTGAAATTGGTACGTTGTCTAATTTATAGGAATAAGATAAGATGAAGGGGTGATGTATTAATGTACAGGATCGGAGAAGGTTCTAATCCTACCAACAAGATAGGCTATAGGAATATTAAACTGTGGTCCAGCCGATGTGGCTGAACTTTGTATATATTTTAAATTGGCAGCCGAGCCCACCACTCGCTAGTCGCTACCTACGCCACAGACCACTCCGGCACTCATTAAAGGAATAGTCTCGAAAACGTTTCCTTTTTTTCCGTGTAGGTATATTTATTAATTAAAGCAGTTGACTCATTCAATATTTTGTTGTGCAAACCCGCATGGAAGAGTATCTGTACGAAGCATGAAGTGGGGAGTGTTAGGTATTTATAAATAAAATTTGCATAGCAGGCATACCACTGTTATATAAATTTTAACTGAATTTTGATAAGACCGTAGGATTATTATCACTTATGTTAGGTGTGGTGATATAGAGTTCAATAGTGAATTACATACACTTATTTGTTTGTCTGTCCGTCAGGCAGATAGTTGAAGAATATAAAACACGTATATTTTTATTTTTAGCGTAATCGATAGTATAGGCGATATATTTAGTTAAAATGTCACACGCATGACTTAATACTTTGGACATTTTCTACAAAGCTGTGACGTGGCGAGCCCTATCTAAAAAAACTTAATCATGGGTAAATTGACCAGACAGAGACGGAGCGGTCTGTGCTTCGTCGCTGCTTCTATTTCGTGTGGTTCTTTAGGTATAGGAAGAGATCAGTATAACAGATCAATCATTATAGGTACTTAAAATAATCTGAACCGGTATAACCGGTGACTACAGGTCGCTGACGGTCATAGGCACGTGGCTAGCTTGTCTATAACGAACTCCGCCACTGAAAAGAATATTAATTGTTAATGAAAAATTTCAGAATTAATAAATTTTAACTTGTTTATAAAGCAGCATGCACACTGTTGTTTTGACTCAGGAGCCGCGCTGGGGCGTCGCTAGACGACCGCTTTACGACTTCGGACGAGGTCGGTGGCGTGAGGCTGACGGTGGCCGCCGCCCGCACCGGGGACAGTGGCGTGTACACGTTGCAAGTGAGTACCATTCCCTTACAGTTATGTCTACTGAATAGGCGAGTCCGGGGAGTTGAACCTCCATTTACATAATTATGCATAAAATCATAACCATGACTTCAAACTTTACAGTTTTTGGTATAAAAGCACATTTCCACAATGTTACAGTTGCTATTTTATTAATACTTTGTAAGATATATGACATTTGTATATTTTTTCACTTGTGGTTCATGTCTCCCCAACCCGCGGGAGAGTTGACCATAGTTATAGGGACACTTGATTATAGCTGTTTTTATTGGAAAAAATGATGAAATAAATTTTAAAAAGTATAAAAATTTATTAGAAAAATGTCTCAAACTTTAACAATTACTGTTTCTTACTAAATAGAGAGTAGGTATTTATTAATTATTATCATTTAAACATAATTGTTTAAACAAAACATACGTCATTCTTAGAAAAATCAACATTATACAAATTTAACATATAAATTGTAATGAAACGTCATAGCTAATGAGATCTGTAAATTATGACAAAGAAAGTAACTTTCGTTAAAAATAAAAATGCAAAAAATAACCGTCTTAGGGCTCTACCTATTAGCTATAATGAGATCAATAATCAGTCTCCCCACTATCTTTAAAACAAATCCAAATCAAGTTACATTTCCATAGATAAAATCATCTTTAGACGTACAACTTGACGTCTAAGATGTCTAACTTCACATTTATAACAAAAAAAAAAATTTCGTCGTCTTCATTGGTCAACCCAACACATATGCTGTAAATATATCGCTTACAAGAAATACAATTCCAACTGTCTTTAAATTCGTGGCATGTTTCGCGATCGTCATCATGTACTTTCCTTTTATTTTCTAAACTTGTTTTGCTCTTTAGTTTTCTTTTCTTTGGTTTCATAGTTCTCTCTTTTTTCTCTTAATATTTTTAGTCACATCAATTTCAGACTTACACTCTGTTTCACTCCCACTATTCTGAAAAAATAGATTTTTCGTACTTCCCACATTAGGCATTTTTCCTTTCTTCGGATTATTTTTGCTAATTTTAATTTCTTTACAGAACATTAATTCAAGTAACAATAATTTAGTTACGTACATTAATATCTGTTGGAGTAATTTTAAATAGTAAAAAATCTCAGCTTTTCTCTCTAAACCGTCGAAAACACGTTTGTCTTGTTCGGCAGTGAACGAATCGTAACTAACTTCAGTCAATGTGGCGCTGCGGGAATGTCAAGTATCGAACAAACTTGCTATGAGCCGTCAATAAACCAGATGGCGCGTAATTTGAACGAATTATGCGAGGTGGATCATCTCTCCCACCTGTTCAAGTGTTCCGGACTCCCCCTAGTGATTGCGCATTTAGCGAGCTCCAGGATTTCTTTTTCTTGCACACTTGTCATTGTCCACCTCCTGATAATATTAGTGTTAGTGTCTCCATTATAGTTTGTTTCGGTGTCACTAGCGATGATATGGCATGATAAGGAGTCAGCCTGCACTAAGTTTTAGGGCAGTTACATAGTAGAAAGTACTTACTTATAATTCCGACACAATAGAGCACTGACTACCAGCATCAACTAGTCTAGGAATAAGGTAGTTTCGGTAGTTAGAATAAGTAAGTAAGATAAGTCACGAACTTGCACATAAACTAAAATTTACATCGTAATAAACAAGATATTCTAATTTTGAGCCGTAAAATAGCACGAATATCATAATATCTTAAAATTAAAAGTCGTGTTTTTTTTGTTTGGGTGTCACGTGACTTGAAACACGACCCGCCATTGTGTGACGTCACTGTACCGACAGCTATCAGATTAATCTACATATCGCAATGATGTCATGAATATGACGGACAGCGCTCTCTCGAGTATAATTTTAAATAAAAAATTGATTTAATTTAAAGGGAAGAAAACTTAAAAGTAGTTTTATAGCTTTCTTTAATAAAAATAAACAGTTACAAGGATAATTTCAAACAGAGTAGAATACCCTATTACTCAATGTATTCAACTACGGTTCTATAAAATAGGTTGTATTTTAAAAGTGATTCAAACAAGACTGCTCCTGTGTGGTTGTAGCCAAACGTACCTGAGTGTTGACGTTTGTTTGAGTGTTGTGCTGTGTTTTTCAGGCCAGCAATGCGGGGGGCCGGGACTCGGCCCGGGTGCGGCTGGAGGTGTCGGCGGAGGAGGCGCCCACCGGCGAAGACCCGCCCACCTTCCTCCGCCGTCTGCAGGATCTCACCGTCAAAGTTGGCGCCAGGACCAGGTTCCTGGTGGAGATTGTCAGTTCTACGGAATGCAGAGTGAGATATTGATTTAATAATGAATAGAGACCTGACGAGAACGCCGAGAGCAATAATCAGATGTCTTGCCATTGACTTAGTATTCTGCATTCCCACTATTTAGTCAATCAATATGTGTGGATTCACTCTTATTTTTATTTTATCTACTTTTTTATAACGTCCAATAAATAGGTAAATATTTAACTCTTACTAGCAGTTGAATAAGTAATAGTATACCATCACTAAATCAAGAACAATTACACTATATCCAAAGTAGGGCGACAATGGTGTATAGCCAATAAATATCAATGTATTATATGTTTTTTTTTGTTGAAAGTATAGACCTTATTTTTTTCTCACCGAATTCCTCTAATGCGTAAAGATTGATCGACGTGGGCGGCGGGATTGTCGGTCTTAGTTTTAATATGTTATGATTTTTTTTTCTCAGAGTTTTAGCATTCATTTCTAAATGAATGAATGAATAATAATTTTATTTGCATTATCACACACACACATGCCAGCAATTATAAAAGTTGGGTGAATACAAGGAGACAAAATATGAAAGAAAAAAAAATTAAATTAAAAGACATACACAAGGCTGCATGTGTGCCGGAACGATGCAAAAAGGCAAAAGCTCAGTAATATGTTTACTTGTAGAGCAAACTTCTGATTTTCAGCTTTAACCTTGAAAATTGGTTTGGCGGGGACGCAACTAAATACATACTATTCGTCAAAGTTCAAAATTAAATGATCATGATTATATAGTTTGAAACTATTTCAAATAAATTACACAAGATAATAAAACTTGGAATACAATGTGAATTGGATTAGGAAAGAATATATTAAAAATGAATTGCATTATAAATTAAATAATAATAATTAACACAATAATTCTTACAATTAATAAGTACCTGAACTCTCCTCTAAAACCTGTAAACCATGAGCTACATAAAGGCGGAAGTATCATTTTGCCGCTTGTCTGCGAAAACAGAACCTTGGGTCGCCAAGAATTCTTTACGCAAATGTTTATTTATAAAATACACATCCGTCGTGAACTGTTCATTGTGTTTTAGCTCCCACTATAATGTTTAGACATTCTGACATTGCGTAGGTCCAGCGGTTTCAGAAATTATGACTGTTAGTCAATATTCACCATATCTTTTCTTAATGACCTCATAATTATTTATTGTAATTATAGGTTTACACAATGAGCCATTTACTTTCCTTTGATATAATATGTTGTTTATATGTTGGGGCAACTTAATTTGCTATAAAACGGAGCTAAGTGAAAGAGGTGTAAAATTAAGCGGATTGAAAGGACAGAGAATTCAGAGGTTATTGTTTATTGGGCATGCTCGTTGACGGTAAAGGGAGTCGATTGTTTTTTTAATAATAAAAACAATACTATTGGTTATATTAAGCATACGACAATTTTATATTTTATGGAAACGTTTCATTTATTAAAGTAGATTATTTTAAAAATACATTTGACTTATCTATTTACCCCTGGCTACGTGATCTACCACCAGTTCCAAATATCATTATGGTCTGTGACGAACTGGCGAAACAAACTCCGACATGAAAAGTGAATTGAGGAAATACAGACGCGCTGAAAGCGTTGTCGGTTTTGTTTCATCCCAAGTGATGTAATGTGGTGGTGGATGGTGGCAGGTGACGTGGTACCGCAACGAGCGTCGGCTGCTGGAGGCGGAGCGCGTGTCGCTGGTGCGCGACGGCAACTTCTGGTGCGCGGAGCTGGCGGCGGTGAGCGTGGACGACGCCGGCCGCTGGACCTGCACCGCGGAGAACAACGGCGGCCGGGCCAGCTGCTCCGCGCACCTCAACGTGCTCGGTACCTATGCACACTCGTAGTTTCGACCTTTAACAATTTTTAGAAAATCTGGATAATTATTATAAAACATTACAAATAACTCGGTCATCAAATAAAAGCTAATGTAGGTAGTTTTTCTATTTATTCCTAAAATACGTGCCCCCAAAGCATTCCACGATGAAGCTGGCGCAGGGACTGGATAATTCACGAAGTGTTTATAAAATTCTATTAACGATACTTAATCGTAGGAAACAAATATAAAATTATGAAAACTTTTTAATAGGTAATTAAAATTGTTGCAGTACCGAAAGCTTACAAAAGGCCCGAGTTCGTGGAAGAGCTGAGAGCGCTCCTGACCGAGCAGGGCACCGTTTCCCTAGAGTGTAAAGTGGTCGGGGTGCCGACGCCGGTGCTGCGCTGGTTCAAGGTACTCGACTAGCTGTATTCCCCCGACTTCGCCCGCGTAAATTACAGCCCATGTCGCCCGCGTGTGAGGAGTTTTCAGTCGACGAAAGAATTTTTAAATCGGTCCCGTAGTTTCGAAATCTGTTCAATCTCACCAACAAAGCTTTCCTCTTTAGAGCACCAGTATAGATTAATATTTTACCGTGGTGCCTCATCCCTTACGAGATGGGCGTTTGCACATTAATATTTCAATAAATTCTTTATGTAATTAGTATATTGTAAAAGTGACTCAGTGCGCTAAAGCGGAGTTGTTTGCTTTAGATGTCATCGGTCGTCATCTCTGTCTGCAGGTTCACTGCTATCTCGTATGCTCATAGCCGTTATTTGCATTTTTAAACCTGAAGAGTTTGTTTAGTTGAACGCGCTAATCTCAGGAATTGTTGGTTTGAATTGATGTGTCCACTTGTAGCGAAACTGTCCACTGGGTTTTTCGGTTTCGCACAAATGTAGCGAAACGGGAAAACCCACTAAGAGTTAGTCAACTTATATATTTTTAATTACAAATATGTGTTGTGAGTATAGTATATATTATGGACGATCAACCATTTATTAGCAATAATCTATATATTAATACGTGAAACAAAAACTTTGGACCTCTTTTTACGAAAATTGCGAGGAAGGAGGAGTATGAAATGTGGCACACTTATAGTTTATTTATTTATTTTATTTATTCAGGTATCAAACAGTCACATACAGATAATGTTGAAGCTACTGTTAACAAACAGACCTATAGAACCATAAATTGACAGCATAATAATATCGATAGCAAGCAATGCATGTAAATGGCGAACATCACATAAACAGTGCACCATTAGCAAACCAAACTACGGCCATAAACCACCCATTTTTAAGGGAATGAATGTATATCTCATATGAGCTACACTAATTATTACAAAATTACTATTTAAACAATAATTCCCTCACTCTTGCCTTGAAAACATTAATTGAAATTGAAAAAATATCTATTTCATTCAAAAACCCATTGTAAAAATTACATGTTCTCCTGAGAAAGGTATTCTGCGCATATTTCGTATGACAAAACGCAATACAAAAAGTATTCTTCGAACGTGTTGAGGATCGAGGAACCTTCAGTGATATTTTTTGTAACAAAGCTGCCGAATCAATATGACCGAGAATTAGCTTATACAGAAATATAGAATCTAAGTAGTGTCGCCTACTGGATAGTGATTGTATTTTATGTTTTCTTGCGCTCTCTTCGTAATCATGGCAATAAAAACCAGTTTTGTAATTCAATGATTTCAAGAACTTGTGCTGAACACGTTCTATTCTATCCTTATGAACTGCATACTGAGGATTCCAAACTACACTACCAAATTCGAGAATGCTGCGAACGTAGGCGCTATATAAAATCTTAAGTGTATTACCATTTTTGAAAACCTTACCCAAGCGAAGGATCAAGCCCAACTGTTTATATGCCTTGGCTATTATATAATCAATATGTAAGTTAAAATGTAGTTTCGAATCTAAAATTATACCAAGATCACGGATTGAATTTACACGAGTTATGCTTTGATCAGAGACTCTATAATCAAAGTGAATAGGGTTATGTTTACGAGTAAAAGTTATTATATTACATTTATCTAAATTTAAGGACAAATGATTAGCTCTACAAAAATGTTCAAAATTATTTAAATCTTCTTGCAATTTTTCACAATCATCGAGACTACGAATCATCTTGTAGATTTTTGTATCATATGTGTCAATAATAATGCTTATAAAGTATATTAAATCGATAGATAAAACATTACACAGCCTACTATGCATTTGAAACACTCAAACAAGTATTTCCTACACGCATACATGTACTCTGTGGTCAAATCGTTTCTTTTGACATAGAGTTTCTTTGTTTCTTTTAAATATTGGCTTCGTACGGTTTGTGCATTTAGCAAGTGTCAAGTTTTATATGTTTACCGTAGACGTCTATTTATATGTTTGTGATGTTTACTGTGGTCTTTTAAATAAATAATATTAAATAACTTCTAATTGAAATTTATTATGGTCCAATTTCGACCACTGGGCGACCACTAGTAGTTAGAGCTCCTCCAAAATGACTTTCTCTCTGGTTTTGGAACATTCCATAAGAAATGTTGCTCTTCCTTTACTTTCTCACAAGCATCCCAGTTTCAAATATTACATTTGTATATGATTTGTGTTTTTATTGTATTGTTTGATTAAAATTGCAAAGTTAGACGGAAAGTGCCCAGATCGTGGTCTAAACAAATATATTCTCTACTTACATATATCTAAAAGTATTTATGTACCTCATCACGGCACACGAGGCGGCTCACTCTGCATGGTTTTATGCTAGATAGATTTACTAGTATTACTGTTCTACGATCGCCACCTTGAAGTCTTTGTTGTCGAACTTCAGGACAGTAGGGAGATAAAGGCGGGCGACGTGTTCGCACTGACGGCGAGCACGGAGGACCCCACGTCGCTGGGCACGTACACCTGCGAGGCGGTCAACTGCATGGGCCGCGCCTACTCCTCCTCCAAGGTGCACGTGCTCGGCCGCGCCGCCAGCGATGCGCCCGCCACCAGGTTTATATACATCAGATATTTTTTTTTGTAGATTGATCGAATCTACGACAGTTATGAAACATCTTTTATCGGATACTAGGTCTGGGTATAAGTAAACGATGGACCCTCCAGATTGGAGTAGGTAACACATGTTTTTTTCTTGGTAGTGCGTCAACGCTAGATCCACCCCCGATTTTCACGAAGGAGCTGGAGGACCAGTTCGTGAGGATCTGTGAGCCGCTGACCCTCAGCTGCACGGTGATGGTCCCGCCGTGGCCCCGCAGCGTCGTCTGGTACAACAAGGAGGGCAAGCTGGAACCCGGAGAAAGGTCGGCTAACATTATTATACGTTACTTTGTTGTTGTAAGTTGTAAGTTTATTGAAATATTGTTGTTGAATACCTTTCGCAACTATTCCTTTAACAATTGGAGTTTCTTCCTATTTATTAATTGTATTTTTTCTTTTTACTTTTTTCTTCGGAGGTTGTTAATCAATAAATGATTTAATAGGAGTGCGGATTGTATTCTCATTACACCAATAGAACATGTCTCATATCCGTTCAAAGAAGTGTACAATACGATCGCGGAAGGCGTGTCTCGGCCTCCCCCGTTATTTACGTTCTTCCATAGCGTTGACAACTGTTGCGCAGTTTGGTACATTTTTATCGGGCGTTTTTCTATACATATTTCCAAAGCAACCAATGTTAGCTTTTGTTTATCACTCAGATATCACTTGGTGGAGGACGGCGTGGGCGGGTACTTGCTGGAGGTGGTGTCGGCCGAGTGGCCCGACGAGGGCGAGTGGAAGTGCGTCGCGACCAGCTCCGGCGGCCGCGTGGGCATCTCCACCTGCTACGTCACCATGGACGGTGAGCACACGCACGCACGCACACGTACACGCACGCACACACACGCATCACATCATACCATACCAACTCCAAACAGGAGTCACCACATTCACACAAACCATGCCATTAAATAAATAAAACAATATCCCTTACAAAAACAGCATTAATAAAACAAACAGATAATTCACTGATTAATGAAAAAATTGGACCGTGACATACGCACTTGCAATGTCAAGGCTAAGGGCAGGTATAAGTACCTACACTAGTGTTTATTATCGACTACCAGCAAAAATATATGAAATAATAAAATGCCATTAGTGAGATATGAAGTTTTCTTTTTTTTTTTTAAATAACTGCAAACGTTCTGCCAAATAACAAATGCGGACGACATGTTTATATCATCCAAGAAAACAAAAGATGGCATGTTTCTGAAATTTGCCAAAGAACGTCAAATACATATTCCATAACAGACCTTATACTCGCACCTATAAGGATCACTCGAAGTCAATTCGTTTCCATGTGTTTTACCTAAAAAGCTCGTACAGTATGGTCTAGTAATTATTTTACGCGCATACTCATACTACATATTATCCTTTAATGTATCAGTACTACAGTACAGTAGTAATATATCAAGAGATTTCATTATCTCGTTCGTAAAAATGTGCACGAACCGTACACAATATGTACTATGTACTTCATCACCTTATCCTTATTATATATTTATAAGTAAATACCATTATTTAGGAGTTTTATATGTATTTAACTATGATTAGGGATTTTTATCGCAGTATATCACTATCATTTGGAGACCGCAGACGACAGTGATGTAGTTTAGCAAAACTATTAAGACTCATTTCTAAAGACCATGAACCCATCAAGGGGATTTTCATAGATATTGTCGAGCAGTACGAATATCTTTATACATTTCATGGAAATATTTAAATTTTATTCGGAGATATATTACGTAACTGTTGGTACATATTGTTAATTTCAGTTCCGAAGAACTATCGGAAACCTCGTTTCATGGAGAATTTGCAGGCAGTGTTGACGGAGGAGGGGCTGGTCTCCTTCGAGTGCAAAGTGGTGGGGTTCCCCACTCCAGTGCTCAATTGGTTCAAAGACGGACAAGAGTTAAAACCGGGAGATGTCTACCAGGTATCCAACACATAACTAACTCGATAATAAAATCGATAAATAAAAGAATCTATGGGCATACCATAATACTAAAAGGGCGAAATACTGACGGCGACCATAAATATCAGAACCAGGGACTTGAAAATATAAATAAATATTAGCCTATTTACATCACACACATTACTCAGATTCTAAAATATGGAGTGTGTGAGATAACGCAGATACCACAATGCCTAGACCAGAAACAATATAGAAAAGTCCATTTTCTACATTGAATAAATTTTCTTTTTTTTTTCTACATCGAATGTAACAGTGAACAGTGAAGCTAAGATTATAATCGACATTAAACGTATATTTTACTAGCTCTCCGTCAACTCAGACAAGTTATATAGTCACAGTACGGTATACAGTATTTTTTTTCTGCCTAATTTAGTATTGAACTCGGATTCTTGGAATTTTATTTGTTAGTTTAGATAAACCTGCTTTCTACTATGAAATCTTGAGATGATCTACTGATGATTATTTCAAGTTTGTTAGTCATTCATAATTAGCGGCACTTTAGTATTACTTTTATAAATATAATATACTTAACATTCTTCAGTCCCTTGACTGACCAACAGTCTTACATATATAATTTTTTAACTCGATTAACAATTCCCCTAATGAATATATATGATGTAACAGCTTACCGGCACCAACTCATTGGGATCATACTGCTGCATCGCTCGCAACTGCATGGGCCACGCGAGCAGCTCTGCGGAGCTCACTGTCGAGGACATCCAGAACCAACTCAACGAGGAAGAGAAACTGCAACTGTTCTCCAAAAACCAAGCGCCTAAGTTTATACAAGGACTGAAAAGCGTCGAAGCAAAGATCGATGAATCATTCCGTTTTACTGTTAAAGGTATCAATGCTTTGGTCCATGGCCACCGTTAATGTATTTGGATATTTGAAAGATTTATCTAGTCAAAAATTGTTATCGTCCATCTTCAGGCTTTTAAGTGATAATATTTGTTGCAGTCGCTATTCCGCCTGAACCATCAGTACTCTGGTACAGAGACGACCAGCCCGTCGACGAGTCTACCCGTTGCCACTTAGTGAAGGAGGACCGAGGAGTATTCAATCTAGACATACAAGCACTAGAGCTCCTAGACCAGGCCGAGTGGAAGTGCGTCGCCATGAACGATTTCGGCCACAGTGTCACTTCATGTTTCCTCAAACTTATCATACCGAGACATTACAAAAAGCCCCGTTTCCTCGAAAACTTGCAAGCTATCCTTTCCGATGAGGGAGCCGTTAACTTAGAATGCAAAGTAATAGGTGTTCCCCAACCTGTACTTAAATGGTACAAAGATGGAGAAGAATTGAAACCCGGCGACATTCACCGAATAATATCTGGACAAGATGGCACATGCTGTCTTGGAACTTACACTTGCGAAGCCCAAAATTGCATGGGCATCGCTGCTAGTTCAGCTTCTTTGCTCGGTTTTGATGATACAATCAAATCTAAGAGTAAAAAGAAAGCGGAAGAACAAGCATTACAAAGAAACCTTTCTCTCAGCACCATTCACGAGGAAAGAACTTCGCAAATGTACGATACGCCTGTTGGTGATATCACACTAGACGATAAAGGTGAAATTTCATTTTCTTTCGATGGTAAAGAAGTTTCAGTGTCATTATATGAAACACCCGATTTAACTGAAGAAGAAGCTTTGCAAATAGTAGAAATGTATGCTGATCAATTATCTGAAAATGTAACTGAGCACAATGTTGTTGAATTACCGCCTTTAAGATTTGTAAAAGAGACTTCGACTTCTGGCAACTTATTAATGGAAGCTATTATTATTGACGTGTCGCCAGAGTATTTTGCATCTCCTGAAGAAGACTTAAGAACAGAAGCGGACGTTGAAGATTTCTCCATAGCTGAAGAAAATGCCGCCCCGCAGTTATCTTTAGATCAAGATGTTAGTGGCGAAGATTATTTAGAAAAAACTATGGCATTGTTATCAGATGAAAAGTCGGATGTTCCGAAAAAAATGTTAAGAAAAAAATCTGATTCCCAGAGAAGTGCTGATGACTTCTACAGCCTATCTCGTGATCAGTCACTTTCAGAGGAAAAAAGGGATGATGACACTCAAATAATGTCAGAAAGTGATTTACAGAGTTTTGCTAGTGCGCGAAGTTTAGATAAACCTAAATCAAAGTCATCAAAACCTTCTCTTGGAGATGGACAAGAGTCATCTGATTTTACAAAAACAATTTTAAATAAAGAAGAAGTGAATAAAATGACTGAGCAAGAAACTCCCGTTTTGAAACCAAGACGAGATCGACGAAGTAGTCGGAGTTCAAGACGGTCCAGTTCCGGTAGTGAAAAATCGTATACAAAGTCAGGAGAAGAGCCTAAACCACTTAAAACGCCAGTTAACTTAGAAACGCAATCTAAAAGAATGATAATGTCTGATGAAGACTTCAGAGAAAAAATTAATGTTATCAGTGTTTCTATATCTAAAATAATAAATGACGTTCAAATAATTGAAAGAGATATTATACTCAAGTCTGAGCTAATGTCCTCAGCTGCTACTGCATCAAGAAGTTTAGAAATCATTAGTAGTTTAATTAAGCCCTTATCCGAAATACAAAGTATTGCTGACGTAATAAAAGAGACCGCCTTAGAATCCAAAGAAGTCAGTAATTCACTTTTTAACAATCTACCTCAATCGCTGAAATCCCTTTACCAATCATTAACGATTGTTGAAAAATGTATAGACGTAGAAAGTGATAATAAAACTCTTGTAAAGAAAACATGTGTTGCATTTATAGAGACCTGTGGTGAAGAAATGAAGAATTGGATGAACGAAATTGTAAGCATAACTGAAAAAGACTACATTGTTGCTGAAACCAAGACTATATCAGAAATAAATTCATTGGTAAATGAAATGAATACAGTTGTTAGATTTTCTGCTGATACAATAAAAGCCAAAAACTTATTGACTGAAGCAAGCGAGATCAAAACAGAGGAACATTCTTTAGAAACAAAACATTTAAGAGATACACAAAAAGCAATATTTGAATTGAAAAGCCCACTTAAATCGCTATTATGTATAGTTGATGCTGCTGATAGTACAGATTTGAAGGACGTTTGTAGATTAAAAAGTAGTGAAGTCATACTTAACGATATGTCGGCTTCCATTCAAGACCTTCAAGTTGCATTAGAGAATATTGAATCATTGTCTGTGAAAGAATCTACTTCGACGGTGTGTAAATACAACACAGAGATAATTGAAACAGTTATGGAGTCAGCATTAAAGTTAAGAAGTTCCTTTGAACAACTTTCGATTGAAACTAAACAAGAGGAAGATAAGGAACTATTAAAGCAAATATTAGTATCCATTAAAAATAATTTAAGTGAAATATCATCTCAGATTCAGACAATTGAGAACAAAGTTGGATCTTTCGACATCCTTCAGAGTGATAATAAATTAGAGGTTTTGCAAAAAATGGCTCAAATATTGATATCTTTAGAAAATAGCATACCGCAGTTAGATGCTATTCCTAATATAAGGAGTCATATGGGTATATTTCATAAAAACCTAACAAAAGTATTAGAAAATGTGATTGAAAGTAATGAAGTTACGAAATATTTCATTTTTATGGAAATTTGTGAGGCCGTGCATAGGCTGAATAACTCAATATTAAATATAAGCTCCGATAATATTTTATATTTATCTAGCATAAGCAATACCTTAGAAATTATACAGGATACATTTGTTAGACATATATTTGAATCAGAACTTAATTGCGCCATCCTGACTAACATTACCGACGTATTGTTAAGTGTACAGGAAGTATTGAACCGCGCTGACGAAGTTAGTCTTCAATTAGATTCTGAACATACTCAAAATATTCCATCTATTGCTTATGATATAAGCGCCGCTAACGTTATCATAGAACACATAGATCAGACAATAGCAATAATCAAAACAGTTAAAGCTATCGAATCTACCAAAGAAATTGAAAAAAGCGTTACTCCAATATTTGAAAACATTTGTCCTATACTAGAAGATCTAAAACGAAACATTGCTAGTGTGAGATCAACTGACATAATTGCAGACGAAAGGATTTCAGAATTATCTGTTAGTTCTTTCGTAAAAAGTCTTGCGACTCCTCTTTTGGAGTTAAATCAGAATATATTAACTCTAAACCAATATATAGTTGAAAATTTAGAAAGCTTTAAAGAAAATAATGAATTTGTATCCGCAATTGCTGAACCTCTTCAAGAGTTATATACTACTTTGCAAATTATACAACAAGACGTCATTTCACAATATGGCGAAAACGTAGCTCCTTATGAAGTTAGCATTAACATGATTAGTGCAGTTCAAAATTTACAGAGTTGTATCGTTTTAATAGAAGAACAAAATGCAGTAGAAGGTATTGATGAAATGTCTACATTAGAGGACGTATCAGGTATAAAAACTACAGCAGAGACCATACCATCTGAACGATTGGTATTAGCCGCAGCAGAAGAAATTGGTATACATCAGTCAGTTGAACCTTTTGACCAGGAAATTGCTCAGTCAGTCATAGCACAAACTTTACAAACACTAAATCAACATATAGCAGTGCTTCAGAATCCAGAGGTTTTAGATGCCCTCGATACGCTATCTGAAGTGAGTGATTATTGTAGTTTAAAATCGGTTGCTTTAGGCTTAGGAGAGCTGCACTCAGGCCTAGAAGAATTATTGCATCCCCTTATTATAGAAAGTTCGGATGAAATAGCAAATTTAGTTAATACTAATAAGTTGATAGCCATTGCGGAACCGATGCAAGAGCTCCATCATAGTTTATCCGTGCTAGATACAAATAACATTCCAGTTTATGAACATATTTTAGAAATACCTACAGAAAAGATAAATATTGTATTGAATACAATTTTTGAATTTAAGGAATCCTTGAATGAATGTATAAAATTGATATTCCCAGCTATAGAAACGACAGATAAAACAGTAGAAATATCGAATAAAGTTGAAGCATTAAGAGGAATATGTGAACACTTTAAAGTTGTTCTACAGGCATCAAAAACAGTGCCACAAGGAGTTCCTGTTGTTCAAGAGCTACAAATTCTTGAAGAAACTGTTGACAATTTACTTAATGCTACAGATGTATCTAAAGGCATTCAAATTGATGAAGTGAAAACTGTAACTGAACAATTGTATGGAAAAATTTTAACTATCCAAGACGATTTGATACAATACACGCCATTTACATCTGAAAGATTAGTTGATGAAGCAAAGTTGATAAAATCTATAAACGAAATTGAAAATAATATAGCTGTATTAGAAGAATATGAGTTTGTGGATTTATCTCGTGTTTCACATTTGACGTCATGTATAACACCGCAGAATGCAACTGAAATAGAAATGGACTCATTGATTCAAATGGATAATATACTTCAAAGCGCTGTAAATGTTGCTCATGATTCCTTGCAGTTTACACCTGTGGCTGATTTAATGATATTAGAGGACTTTTTCACGACTTGTAAAAACGAGTTCACTATTTTACGTCACTTAATAACTAAGTCTCTGAATCACAAAAAAACCATACGCCTTATCGAAGAATTTGGCTTTATTCAAAAATTAGTAAAAGATTTCGAAGGTAAACGATGTGATTTACAATTCACCGAAGACATAAATAATTATTTGACAACATTTTTCATACAAGTGAATGAAAATCTGGAAACTGTTCAGAAACAAGTCTTAAAAGTACTAGATTGTCAATCAGAATTGTTATTTAAAAAACCACGCGATGAAATTGAAAGAGCTAGTTTGCTTTTGAAAGATATATTAAGTAAAAATGTCGTTAAGTCAGTAGTTTTAGAACAAGTAATTGTAAAATTTTTAGAAATTATAGATATTGTTGATCCAAAATTAAAAAATCTTCAAGAAAGTATTACGAAAGAAATAAAGTATTCAGTAAGGGAGTGTCCTGATGAGGAAAATCGCTTGTTTGAAAAGATGGCAGATATTTTAAATGTTGTCGAAGTAAATTCTTTATCTGTTTCGCTAGATGATCTAAATAAGAACATCCTGCTAAAAATTTTAAAATGCTTACAAAAACATCAGATTTACAAAGATGCTTCGGGATCGGTGAAGTATTTAATTATATCAAAATGTCTTTCTGAATGTGGGAATATACTTCAAAATATTACTCCACATACAAAAAATCCTGAACCTGTCGTTGAAATGAAAATTGAACATAACACTCTTAAGGCAATCCTTAGTGAAATGCTGGTACCTCTTCAAGCACTTCGTGGACAAGTCATGAGTATTCAAGAAAAAGTTTGTTCTAATGCTGAAGAAGATTCGGTTTCTGTAGATATTGCAACTACCGAATCTATAATGGAAACTATGTCTGATAAACATAAACAATTTTTAGAACAAATCGAATCTCCTGACACTGTTATTAACAATGAAAGCTTTTCTTTAATTATGGAAGCGGACAAAGAAATACACGTTATACATGAAAGCTTGAAATTAATTGACAATGCACCAGTTGTAGAAGAATTAAAAGAAATCACTAAATCCGTTGAAGAATTAGAAAAATCATTACATAACGTTTTGGTTAAAGAATTTAACGAAGAAGAAATTATTGAAAAATGTTCTAAAGGTAGGTTTTATTTACGACAGTTTTTATAAATTTTAAATAAAATCTTATAATGCCTTATAATTTTCAATTAATTATGCTTTACAAAATTTATTTCTAGATGTCAATTCTAATATAGATACCTTGGAAAATGCATTAGATCGTTTCTTATATATTGAAACAGATATATTGGCTGTAGTAGATATGTTTAGTGAAATTGACATTAAAGAATGCTTGAAATTGGCTCGTGAATTAAAAAACATAACAGAATTGACTACAGTTATTGACGAAAAGCGGAAACTAATTACGACATTAAAAAATATTCTGTCCAATTATGATTGGCTTAATACTGATAAGTATTTGGAAGGAAAGAAACCTTTAGAAATTGAAAAACTAACAAATATCTTTTTAACAACTTATCAACTATTAACAGAATTAAACTTATCTGATGATAGTACACAATTCACTCCTAAATTAATTGAAGTAAAAACAGAAGGTAATGCGAGTAAATTTTGTGATCGATCATTTGACTCTGCTTTGTATATTTATACTTTAAAACTATATTTTTGAAAATTGCTAAAACTTCTAAATGGTGTTCTTTTAGTTTTTGTAGTTTTGCTATGAAACTATTTATTTTACTTTTGTTATGATAGTAAAACATTCTCTATTTCTAGGAAAATCGCTTCAGATTATACAAGACATCAATCAATATATAGAACTATTGGAAACTGTTGACGAAACTAATGCCGTTTTCAATAAAGAAGAACTTGAAGAAGTTATTGAAGTAGCCCAAGAATTACAGAAAAGCTTAATGATTAGTGAACATATCGCTACTGAACATAGTGAAGATATCCCAATCGAATTTAATAATATTCAAGTGGACTTAATCCATAAATTACAAAAAGCTCTTTCATCTTTGCAAGTTAATGTTCTAGATGTAGTTTCAGAAATTTCTTCACAGAACTCTAATGAGTTGTTACAAAAAATTGTTCAAGTAACATCTTCTTTACATAATGATTTATGTGCAGTAGTGAGTACTGAGGTAAAAGTAATTCAACCCAATATCACTGAAGACTTAGATAACAAAAAAACTTCTTTAAAAGGTACAAAAGACACTGCTGAGTGTTCAGTATTATCAGAAAGTATAGAAACGAATGATTTCGGGAAACAAATTTCTGAGAATATTCAAAGTGTAGAAAATATATCGATTGAGACTACAACTCCGGTTATAAAGAAAGAAACTCAATTAGGAGATATTGCCGATGCTGATATAACAGTATTAGATGCAGTACAAAAACCGTCAAAAGTTCTATCTGAGGAAGATGAATCAGTTACTCCTAAAGATATTCCTTCTCAGGAAGCAATAATTCAACAAAAGGAATTAAGCACTACTATTGCTAGTGAAATGCTACCCGCAGAATCACTTCTTCTTAAAGAAGTCGAGTTATTGCCGGGTGAAGAAATTGACAAGTTTCAAGTTATTTCTCAAAATACAGAAAACGATGTTATGACTGAAGTTATGACTGATTCAACGGCAAAAATATGTGAACCATCCAAACAAGAGGACAAGATAACAGGTAAGATTAATTTTACGTTGAAAGTCATTATTTTCGTAGGTCACTTGTTATTAAACAACGACATTATAATATAGGAGCATTGTTAACCGAACGAAAAAATAATATATGGAAGACTGTATGAGCATATGAACACTTATGTAAATGTTATGCAAAAAATTTACTGAACTGCCGATAATTATGAATATGAATGACTTAAATACTAGAAATGAGCCACTAATAGGAAGTAAGAAATAATTGTACCTAAACTAACAACTAAAATTCCAAGTATAAGTAGTAACAGTTAAATACAAAATTATGCGAAAAGCATATCGAGTGTTAAATAGTGCTTAAATAATATTGAAGGCAATTATTATAATATAACATGCTTAAGATAATTCTATTGTAACATTATTCTTCTGAAAATTATTTAACAATTTATGATATTTACAATTAGCCCTTTTTGCACAAGACAGCTTTCGTAACTTTACAATTTTTTAATATATCCTTCCCACCATGCTTAAGATTCCTTTATCTAAGTTGCACGATTGCTTTTGGGTCACCAACTTAACGTGTACCGAATTTCGACGCAATTAGTCCATCCGTTGCTGTGACAGGTGTATAAACAGACAGATAGATGGCCGTGTGATTCTATACGACTTGAGTTTTTAGATTTTTGGTGTGCTTAAAATGACAGGAATTTCACTAATGCTTAGTTATTAGGTTATATTAGGAAGACTACATTTACATATCTATTTTTATATTTTTTAATTTAAATGTCATTAAATATTACAGGTGACATCAAGCGTTGCATAGAAGATTTCATTAAGCAAGATATTTCAGAAGTCGTTGAAGACCTATCAACTGTAATTGACGTAGATAATCTTAAAAAATCCATAGTAATTGCAAAAGAATTACTTGAAAATATTTTAACATTAGAGTCGTCATGGGAAGTAGAGTCTAGTGCAATACTTCAGCCATTGCAGGAAATAAAAGGAAAATTAACACAAGAACTTGAACATTATCTTTCTATTATACAAATACAATTAACGGACAACACAGAAAATATAACACCTGGAAATGAAAACAAAATGCAAAACGTGGCTTCTATCACACTTAACTTGAAAAATTGTCTGACTAATGTAGTAACAACTTCATCAGATGAGAAGGTGGAAACCATTGTATCTGATTTATTAACGCCACTTTTGAAAGAAGATCATGCAATTCATATTGAAAGTATTGATGCTATAATAACAGAGGAAGTTGTATTGGACAAGCATATTTGCAGTAATGTAGGCTCGATAAATAAAGATTATTCATTAGATAATATGGCCATCGAAACTGATTCAGTGACTGCTGAAGACCAATCAGTTGCAGGTGTTGAAAATACGACTTACAGTGACACTGCTTCTTCCACAGTATTGGGTGGGGAAGAAGCCTTAGCATCGTACATTAACGAAGTGGTTCCATGTGATCTTGTTAAGTCCATAACGAGTTCCGTTCAAAAAACCCCAGAAAATTTAATAAGCAGTGATGTGAACAAATCAGATATCTCAGAAACCACCGATGTTGTTGCAAATTTAGCAAATGTAGATGTGGGCGAATATGCACAAGAACAAAAAGGAACGCTAGGTATGAAAATATTTTTTATTTCTAAGATTACTTATTATATATATATTATACATTTGCGAGATTCACTACAGTTGTTGAATAGATCAACACCATATATATATATTTATAATATATAATATTAATTTATAATATTAATTTATAGTATTAATGTATTCAACAACTAGTAATTATATCAAATGAGATAAACGTATTTTAGATTTTGTCACCCTCAAACAACATTTATATTTAAAGCGTACATTTTAAATGGCAAAGTAATGATAATATTGTGAAAATTATTTATTTCTTGTTTAACAACACATAAACACTGTTCACATACAATTCTCTACTTTTGATAATTTCCAGAAATACTCAAACAGGACATCGAATCTTTTATATCAGAGGAGGTGTCTCAAATTTTAAATGAATTATCGCAACAACTTTCTTTTTGTAACCTAAAAGAATCTTTGTGTTTAGCGAGAGAATTGAGCGAAAATATAGCGGTAATTTTAACAGATAATGGTTCAAAAGAAAATGAATGGTTTACTATAAAATATGTCATTGAAAACAGTCAATATCATCATCTAGCTCAAGAATTACATCTGAGTTTAAACGTTCTTCAAAACCAGTTACATGAGAAGGAAAGCCAAATTATTTCAACTTTAGGGGAAATTCAATACAAAATAGTATCGAACACTATCTCCAGGCTAAAAGACTGCCTTCTAGCTTCTCTTTTCAACGCTATGCAAAATGATATCGTGTGTACTCAAAACGAAACGAATATGAAGTCTTCTTCTGAAAGTGCTTTGGAGATAACACAAAATGCTTCAGAAGAATTTACGCAAGATATTAATAATACTCTTAAATTCAATATCAATCCAAAATTACAACAAATTTCTACCTGCATTAGTGATGATGAAGATACATTGTTGACAACGATGGCAGTTGATAAAGTTGCAGAAATTGTTAGTTCTAACAATGATACAACATCAGAATATAGAGCAAATGAAGTCAACCTAGAAAAGTTTATATTGACCGCAGAATTCGAAATCTCAAAAACAGAATGCCATGAAGTGAAGGGTGAAGAAGCAAATACCATAAATTCTAACTATGAATATTATTTGAAAACTACTCCTACAGATGTTACTGAACAGTTTAAAGAAGCTATCGAAATTTCCACACCTAATATCATTGAACAAACGGACAGTCTTCTTTTGCCTGATATAATTTTAGATTCAATGACTGAACATAACATAAAAAATGCAACACAAGATTTGATTTGTCCCAAAGTTCAAAACGATGAAACTAAAACTGTAGTTAATAAACAAACTATGAATGTGGAATTATCTAACTTAACTATTAGCGACCAGTTTGAACCTATAGAAAATATTGCTGTTGCGGATAGTCAGGTACAAACAATGGGTTCCAAACACAAGACAGAACAAAAGACGTTTGAGGATACCGAAAAAGAAAAAGTTTTATATTCTAATATCGAAGAGTTATTAGAAACAACTTCCAATATCAAAATCGACTCTTCAAGCAATCAAATTGAACTGGAAGCTGTTCCTACTACTAAATTGGAAAACATTGAAATTGATAACATTGAAATTATTAATGATATTAAACAGGCAACGGAAATAACCGACGTTAACATGAGCGAGTCTGATAAAACTAACGAACATAACGTGTGTGGGGAAATGAAAGTCCTACAAACTATTGACCCAAATAATAAAGGACTATTTAAAACCGCGTCCATGGCTATGATTGAACAATATAAACCCACTGTGGAAATAGAAATACCAACAATTGTGAAAGAAACTGAGAGTATTCTCTCATCGGATTCGTCGTTTAATCAAACTGAAAGCTCGATAGTAGATATAGAAAATAATACAGTTTGTTTATTTGAGTCACCAAAAACATCAGAAAATAGTCTAATTAACTTAGAAACTACAGTGAAAAATGAAAAACCAAGAGTAGAATGCAATATTCCTTCGATAGAACAAGAACCATATGATAGTACTGATGAAATAAAATCTTTTAATATGAATAACATAAGCCTGCTCGAAGTTACTTTAAGTGATAAAGTTAATCAAATTAACACAGCTGTAGAAGTTAAATTACCTGCAGCGGTAGACGTAGCAGAAAGTTTTACATTAAATAATATAACTAATGATTCGATAACCTATCAAAAAGAACAATTGCCATCTGACTTATCACAACTTGTTCCCGTTACTAATGAAGAGGGGGCTGTAATCGATCACCTTGAAAATGTCATTGATAAGCAAATGGCCCTTGGGAGTGAATCTGATGTATCAGCGGCAAGCGAAAATCAAAAAAAGTGCAGAGAAATAAAAGTCCTCCAAACCATTAGTCCCAATACCGATGGAATATCTGAAATTTTAACTACTCATGTTATTGACACAATTCCAACCACGCCTATCGAAATTACGACAGTCGAAATGCCCACAGACATTGAACGAACGGAAAATCTTACCTTGTCTAGTATAATAATTGACTCTTCGAAAATCGATGAAACTGAACCTAAAGTTATTGTTAAGCAGTCAATAGATACCACTGAAATCAGCTTTTATGAATCTGATTTAACAACGATATCTGAAAAACAAAAGACATGTAGTGGAATAGACGATCAAAGAGCTATCAATCCAAATCCTGAAGGTAAATCTGAAACTTTTCCATTGGATGTTATTGAAAAATGTGAAGCAGCCATCGAAATAGTAGCGCCTACAATAACAGAACAAATCCAGAGCTTCTCCTTATCTGAAGCAATATCTAATCGAGCTACAATCTCTGTAGTTGAATCAACCCATATTGATACACTACCTATTGAAAAGGGCAATGTTGATATTGAAGGAAAAAACATATTTATTACGGAGTTACCAGGAACAGAAGGGAAAACCGATAAACTAAATATAAAATGTAAAGTGCCATCAGAAGAACAAGAAGCATACGACGTTATAGAAGAAGTTACAATTAACTCTAACGTTGAAGGTTTATCAGAAAACATTTCTATAGACATGACTGACACAATCAACGAGGCAGCTGAAATTGCAAACCCCACAGTCGTGGAACAAACTGAGAATCTTACCTTATCCAATGAAATGACTCATTCTACAATTCATGAGACTGAACAATCGGTACCAGATTTAGTACAAGCGATTACTAGAATAGAAAGCTTTGAAATTAAAGACCTTAAAACTGACGTTAATGTTGAACAGGTAGGAGTAACCGCAGTGGTAAACCTGAGCGAATCTGACGTATCTGTAAAATCTGCAAAACAAGAAGTACATACTTCTTGTGAACTTGAAGTCGTACAAACCATTTGTCTAACAAATGAAGATTTATCTGAAAATTACGAAACAGCTATAGAAGTAGAACTACCTGCTGTTGTGGATCAAATTAAAAACATTTCTTTGTCTGATGTAACATCTTATCAAGCTAAAGATCCTATAATAGATACCATACAAACAGCGACCTCGTGTTTGGAAATCGAGAATATTAATGTGAAAGAGAAGAACACTGTTCATACAGCTGGTTTGCTAGAAATAGAGAGTGAAATTGTCCACGGAGAAACAATGATTAACCTAGAACAATTAAATATCAAATGTGATGAGGATGAACAAAAAGTTTTAGGGGATTGTAATGAAGCAAAAAGTTATGTAACAAATAGTGATAGCCTTCTAGAAACTATTCCAATTGATACAATCAATCAAATAAAAACAGCTGAAGAAATTTCAATACCTACAGTGTTTGAACAAACAGAGAACTTTAATTCATTTTATAAAACACTTAACTCTTCAACTTACCGAAACGTACAATTAATATCAGAAATATCTACAGTTTTGGAGCAAAGTGAAAACTTTGCTGTACCTGATATTACGCCTCATCAAGCTGATGGTACAACAGAAATGACTCTGGCCGATGCCACGTGTTGTGAAATCAAGAAAGCTGATGTCAAAGAAAAACATGAAATAGTGGGCTTGGAAGTTGTCGACCAAGAAATTAAAGAGCAGATGAAAGATCTGAATATAAAGTGTGAAGACACTAAAGATCGTAATTCAGTTAATAATTTCAATATTACTCCAGCAGAAAAAGTAGGAAATGTAATTTTTAACGAAGAAACGATAGTGCAGCCACAACAACTAAATGTAAAATGTAAAGTTCCTTCAGTAGAACAAGAGGCATATGAGGATATCGGAGAAACACAAATTTTGGGATCAGATAGCAGCGATCGGCAAGAAGACATAGTTAATGTTATTACTAAACCTAAGGTCATTGAACTAATCGAAAACAGCACTTTATCTAACATAATAATTGACTCTACATCTTTCCAAACTTCACAATCTATTCCAGACCCATCACAAGCTATATCTAGTCCGGAAAACGATATTACTAACGCTAATAATAGTCTGAATCAGAACACAGAAAACTTAGAAATTGTTGTTAGTGAATTTGATATCTCAGAAAAATCGAAAAAGCAAGAGTCATATGATGATTTAGAGATTTTGGAAACATGTAAAATTTCACCTGAACAACATAAAGCAGATATTAAAAAAGAATTGCTTACTATCCTGGAGCAAACTGATAATATTTACTTATCTGATGAAGTATCTTTTGAAAACAAAGATTCAGTGATAGATATAATTCAAATACGTAACTCATGTGCTGAAGATGGAAACACTAATGTTGAAACAGATATTGTGGTCCAAGACGTTGACTTATTGGAAGCAATTACAGATGAAGTTGTTAATGAAGAAAATAAGGTTAAATTTAAAAAGCTCAATATACAATGTAAAGTACCTTCAGTAGAAGAGAAAACTTATGTAGATACCGAAGAAATTAAAGTTTATGATTCAGGTAACGAAGGTATGTTAGAAACTACTTTAAGTGAGTTGGATAAACAAGTCAACATATCAGCTGAAATTGTGACACCTACAGTCGTCGACCAAACGGAGAACCTAATCATATCTGATGTAACGACTGATTGTCAAACTGTAAAATCAGTGGAAGAATCGGCACGTCTTGATGGTCACGTTGATGTAATACAAAATGCTGCAATTATTGATGTTGAATGGGCAATAGAAACTACTGATAACAACATCAATAATGCCGCTTTGAAAGAGGGTCAACAGTTAAAAAATATGTCTGTAGGAATGGTGGAACATAGTAATATGGTTGCTGAAATAACGACACCTGTAGTCAGTGAACTGACAGATAATCTTATTTTGTCTAGTATGCCTACTGGGATTTCCTCATACCAGTTGGAATGTATTAAGTTTAATAAAACACAGGATAATATTGACCGATCCAGTATGGATTGCGACAGTAAATCTTTTTGTGATGTTAGCAAAATTTCTGAAGTAATAGTTAATGATATTATTCTTCAAGCATCTCATAGAATAAACGAAGTTAATAGGCCTACTCAATTAGTTGAAGAAAAATCGAATGATGATTTTAGAAAAAAATTAGTAAATGAAGAAGAACAAAGTAAACCGGCTATTGAAATCACAATATCTGAAATTGTTGAACATACTGATATCGCCAACTTATCAGTTGTAAACATTGGTATGCCTAATTATGAATCAACACAAAATGATAATAATGATACTAACAAAGGAAAAGATATCAATGTACCTACAGTGCTTATAGAAGCATGCAAAGAAGCAGTAAAAGTTGTAACTGCCGCAATTCTTGAACAACCTGCTATGACTTTACCTGCTAATTCAGAATCGCAGCAGCTAAGGCAGCAATTGCCAAAAGATTTGAAAACTGCTTTTAACGAAGATGTCGAACCATCGCAAAAAAAATTAAATGAAGAACGAATTGATAATGTTTCCATTTCTACTTTAGCAGATCAAATTATTATTAATGCTATTGAAGAATGTAATGATTCAATAGATATTTCTTCGCCTTCACCAAATAACGAAAATGAGCAGATGTATAAAATATATGAAGATATCGTGCAGGATAAAACTGTGATTGACAATCAGCTTCAGGTATCAAATATGGAAAGTTTAACAGATGTAGATTTGGTTAATTCCTTAATTCTTGAACATAAGCTAGATTATGATTCACGGACTGAAACAGTTGCTTGTGATGAATCAAACAGATCAGAAAATGATCATAAAGTTTGTCAAAAGAACATTGAACCATCTCCAAAACATGTGAATGCTGCTCAAAATAAATCGCTTATTGAAGAAAATGAAGTTATTGATGAGGATTCAGGAAAAAATATAATATTGAACGAATGTAATTGTGAACCTCAGGCCGAAACCAGTAGTGGTAATTTAAAGCCTTATTTTTAAACTGGCTTATTCATTCATAAATTTTATGTGAAGCATCTAATTCTATTACAAGACATTTTCATCTAATATTCAACGCCATGTTGTAGTTAGATTAATATAATACACTGAATTTATGTAATATTTAATAATGCAATGTGAAATATGTCACTAGCAAGCTATCAACGATGCTTTTACATAATCAAATATGTCAGCTTTTACCTTTTAAAATATTATTATCAAATTTAAAAGCTGTACTCTCATGTCGATCAGGCAATTTTACTAAGTTCATGCTTTTTAAATCACAATAACGGTGTTTTAGCTGTTATTAAAATTTTAAAGTAATAGCCTCGTAATCTAAGCAAAAAACTTTGAGCTATACAATTTTACAATTTGTTTGTTATCACTAATATTTAATCAATTTACTTTTATATTAGTTGTTATTATTTTGAAAAAAAAATCCTAATTTTTTGCGACTGAACAAAAATTCACCCCTAGGTAGAATGATACGCGAGGCTTATGAAATTAAAAAACATCCGAATATGCCACCGGCTTGGGATCCAGTAATTATCTTGTCAAAAAAATCTCAATCCAGATCACGCATTGTAAAACTCAAAAATATAGTTCATTCTGTAAATATTAAATCAAAGGGAGTAATTTACTTTTCTTCTTCTTCTCAGACAGTACTCCCAAATTTGGAACTGGTGGTAGATTAGGGTAGCCAGGGGTAAATAAATAAGTCAAATATATTTTTAAAATAAGTTACTTTAATAAATCTTAACGTCTCCATAAAATGTTTTTTTTGTATTGTGAATTTGTCCATTAGTATTGTTTTAAAGTAAGCTATACTGTTAATTAAAAGGACAATCCACACCTTAGTCTAATGAGAACACGGAACTTGTAAAGAATCTGAAACGACAGTGAAACTAAAAACAAACGTGATGAAACCGTTTAAAAATTGTTTAAGTTATATAGTGCGCGTGAAAATATAAGAAATCAATCATTAATATGGCATTTTAAATCAGTTGCCCCTTATTAATATTTATGTACATTACATCAATTAAGTTTTTGTTGGCAAAAAGATATCATAAATGATGACTAACATTCAATTCATACAGTAACCATTTACCAAACACAAACTATACACACATGCACCACGTACACAATATGAAAATGGCAAATTTAATTAGAAAATATATAATCACAATTTATTTTTCAGTGCCTAGTGGATTCCTTAAACACATAGAAAACTTTTTGTCTGATGAAATAGCCGAAGCAATTGAAGAACTTCCAATAATAAGTGCCACTGATTTAAAAGAAACTGTAAACCTAGCAAAACATTTATATCACAACATGGCGATCGTTCACGATGCTGTTAAGGTGGAAGAAAATGCTTCTCTCATGCAAGAAGCTGAAAGTGCTCAAATGGAAGTTATGAAGAAATTAAACACATCCTTAACCGTATTACAAACTGACGTTTTAGAAAATATTCAAAAATATGCTCCACAATTAGCTGCTGAAAACGTACAGAAAATTTCTGAAGCCGTTGATAGTTTACAACAAGATCTAAGAGTCATCGTCACAACTACACCTGTTGAATCATTACCTGGTGGTAAGTTATTTTTTTTATATTCTTTATTCACAAATAGATTTAAAACCCAGCCCACTTCCAAATAATCAAGAAACTTCTAATTTGGCATGCACGTAGATAAGTATATATGTATATACAGGAAAAAATAAAAAACCGGCACTTTTTTGTCACAAAAGTAAAACAATTTGTAATTAGCTAAAATTCTGAAACTTCTATATAAAATATATGCGAATTTCATTTAACAGCGGTAAAGTAAGTTTGTCAATAAGTCGCATTTGAGTATTTTGAATTACTTTCAAGTAGTCTTTTTTTCTTTTCTTCGTATTTTCAACTGCTAACTAGTTATTAGTTATATCCGCGTGATTCCAAAAGTGTAAAGATATTCCAGGTAATAATGGCGGCAATTCACAAGTCTCATTTACTTTACCCTTGTCGTCAGCCGATTATATCACGACGATTATAAAGATGAAGCAATAGTAGGTAGTAATTGTATTGAACTACCAGTCAATGTCGTGTATTTACTGTCATCGTCCAATGTGAATACGCTTCCACTGCAGAAGTATTGTAATGCCAATGGGTAACAAGTTTAGTAGACAATCCTGAAATTTATTTATTTAAATTATAGTTTCACATTCTTTTGTAAAATAAAGCAATCAACTTAATATCAACAGCAGTTCATAGATTGCATTTTAAATACAACTAACGCCATCTAGTGCATCCCAAAGTAGATAACAATAATTTTTCTTACGAATGTAAAATGAGTTACACACTTGAATGTTTTTAAAAATTAAAATTTGTAAATAAACTTTTTGCTGTACCAACTTTCATCTTAATTTTAAAATATTTGTATTTAATTTTAGATAGATTTATTACAATGACAAATCAAATAGTAGACAATAGTGGTTAATATTTACTTTTAACCTATCGGGCTGCGTTATTTAATACTTATAATAATGTGTATTGGACGCGATTTTAACACTGACTTGCGTCGACATATTAAGTATTAAACAGTGGTGAAGCCTGAAGTTTTACGAAAAGAAGCCAGATCAGAATATAATTATTTGTCATTGCGGTGAAACGATGACTGGAGATAGGACTTTTAAATAATTATAATTATTACAAATAATAATATTAATATAATAATAATTTTAATAATTTTAATTACTTTATGTTAAGGTTTATATTGATGCCAAGTCCTCTCCAGTCCAAAAGCTTAAACACGTCCTCCAGTGCGGCAGTGAAGTTTCGGCGATATAACGTCGCCCTGTCTCACTCCACGCTGAAGTCATATTGCTTTCGAGTTTTGGTCCTGAATCCGAACTGACTTGGTGGCGTTTTCATACAGTGACTGCAGCACTTGGATGTATCAATATTCTATTTGGCAACTTTGGAGTGACCTAAGCACGGCCCAGGTCTCGACGGAGTCGAAGGCTTTCTCATAGTCCACAAACGCCAAGCATAGTGGCAGATTATACTCTTCGGTCTTCTGTATAACCTGTCGCAGCGTATGAATGTGGTCTATGGTACTGTAACCTTTTCGAAAACCCGCCTGTTCAGGAGGCTGGAAGTCGTCAAATTTACGTGCGAGACGATTCGTGATGACTCTAGAAAACAGCTTGTACACATGACTCAGAAGCGTGATGGCCCTGTTGCCCTTTTTGAAGAAAAGCACCACTACGCCCCACGTCTTGCCCTCGAGTATGGCGGAATGAAATAGCTGTTGCACAATTTTTTTTTTCATAATTCGATATAAAATGTACTTCTGCATCACCTTAATTTTATTGTGCCTTTTACTCAAATATTTTTAAAATTATAGTAACATAAATGTTTGTTGTGGGGAATTATCGATATGATTCGTAGGCCGAATGTTAGTATAACGCAATAATAGCACTCTCAAGCGTACTAGTTAGCACACGAATTTCAAAATCGCAATGCGCTTTTGAATGTTTATCTGTGTGAGAGTGTAAATCACCTTACAGTGTAAAGAACGTTGCAGAATTTGCAAACTATAACCATATGGTGTATTAAAGTATTTTACTAAATAAATTGGGTAACTATTTTCGTAATGTATTAAACACCGATATTTTCTGTTTTCTTATATGAATTACATTTTGTAAATAAACATCATACATTTAAAACATCGTTTTATACAAAGTGTAACTACATATTTGACACATGTCTGAGTCTTGTGCGGAGATGTGTGTGCAGGTTACTTTATGTATTAAAGAAAAATTTACTACAGCAACTCGTTGTAGAAGAATGTTCGAACTGATTAAGTAATAATGGTAAGTAAAAACATAGTCCCCGGCAGCCCCTCTATTCCTGTCTCTGGTAGCGGCGGTAATGGAGGGGCAGGGGGTGCTAAGAATCCCCGGAATATTCGGCGCTACCAACACAAACGGACTCTGGCCCTGGCAACATACAATGTCCGCACACTGAGGACTGACGTGAAGTTATTAGAGCTGGAGGAAGAATTGAGTAAATTGCGATGGGACATAGTGGGATTATCCGAAATCCTAAGAGACTGCCAGGATACGATAATTCTTGAGTCCGGTAACATGCTCTTCTTCCGGGAAGGAGATCAAAAATCTCAAGGTGGTGTTGGGTTTCTCGTCCACAAGTCCCTCGTGAACAACGATAGTGTGTCGAGCAGAGTGGCGTACCTTATACTCAGAATTACCGAAAGGTATTCGCTGAAGTTCATACAGGTTTACGCCCCGACCTCTTCACACTCCGACGATGAGGTAGAGGCTATGTATGAGGAGATTTCTGAAGCCATACATACGACTAATACCTACTTCACCGTTGTAATGGGGGACTTTAACGCGAAGCTGGGCGCTTCGAACGGCGATGAGTTGAGGGTGGGTCGATTTGGGTATGGGTGGCGCAACCATCAGGGCCAGAAGCTGGTCGATTTCATGGAGAAGGAGGGACCCTTTGCGATGAACTCCTTCTTCCAGAAGAGACCCTCCAGGCAGTGGACCTGGATGAACCCTGATGGTTCGACAAAAAATGAGATCGACTTCATCATGACAACCAGAAAGCACATATTCAATGATGTCTCCGTGATTAGCAGGGTGAAAACCGGTAGCGATCACTGAATCGTTAGAGGCACATTGAATATCAATGTTAAGCTCGAAAGGTCACGTCTGATGAAGTCCGCGCACCGTCCTAGTGCTGCTCATATCGTGGACCCCGAAGCCTTCCAACTCCAACTACACAATCGGTTTCAGTGTCTAGCTGAATGCGAGTCTGTGGACTGTCAACGGGTTTGTAGAAACAGTCCAAGCTTTGGGGTCTAAGTTCTATAAGCTACCGCGCCGTATTAAATCTCAAAAGCTCTCAGACGAATCGCTCAAGTTGATGGCGGACCGGAGGGATATGAGACTGCAATCTTCAACCGATATGTCGGAATATGGTCGACTTAATAGACGAATTTCCAAATCGATGCGACGTGATCTGCGCTCCTATAATACTACACGTATTAGGGACTTGTAAAATGTAGGTAGTTTTACAAGGTGTTTTCAATTATTAACAATAACGATTCCAAAGCAAAACGATATCGTAAAAGCTATTTACATTCTAGATATAAAAAACTTTAAATTGCAATAAAAGTGCAACAGCTTAGTATAGATCACAGTTAAGTGCATATAATGTGCAAAGATACTCGTATCACACGGAAAAAAGAAAAACAAAAAATCATTACCATAAACAAGGTAATGTGAGTTTAACTTTATCCATCTCTGTACTTTTTACACGAATAAACGTGAAAAATGCTGTTGCAGCAACATAAAGACATCAGCAGTACAAGAATATAAAAATTAAATGGTTTTTCTCAAATCTCTGCTTTTCTTATAATGTTTTTCATATTATCATATTTTCTATCAAAGTTAATTTTAATCTTTGACTTTGTTAAATATTGTATAATCATATTTTATAAGGGCTTCGAGATATATAAAAAAAACCGTTATTAGTTTTTTAATTTTATAAACGGAAACGTTAAATGACGAGAGATTCGTATTCGTTCGTTGTTCTAATAAATTGGAGGTAAAAGCTAGTAGATATATAGACTAATTTTCATTCGCTAATTTTCAAGTAACTGATTGAATTTAAAAATAAGGTACAGTGATGTATGTTGTTTTATTAGTTTATTTATCAGCTATATCGATTAACTCGCGTTGGTTTAATAATAATACTTTTCTTTTTTAAGATGCACTAATGGAATCAACTAAAGAGGAGTCTATGGAGGAACTAGAAAACTTGTTAAAAGACGTTAGTGAACGAATTACTTTGTCTTCTGGCGATAGATCGGTAGAAGACACAGAAGTGCTCCGTGACAGTTTAGATGAGGTCCAGACCGTAATTATTAAATTAAAACGAGACTTTGATGGCGCAAATGATACTCTCAATGAAACTCTTGAAGACTTAGAGTGCAGTGTGAGGAGTGTCCAACTTCAGATAACTGAAGATAGCCCACCAGATTTATTGAAAGAAGCTTGTGCAACATTACAATTATTGGTCAACAATATGACTGAAACACATGAAGTGCACGTTTCTGAAACTATACCTAAAGAAATTAAATCTGAACATATATTGGACAAATGCTCAGAAGAAACGGAACAAACAATGCAATTATTGGATATTGCATCTCATATTGATATTGCTGGACGTAGTCATTTGAGTGACATTGTTTCGAATTTGAATAATCTGAGAAACACAATGAAGGCACTAAAAAGTGGTTTTACTGGAAGTTCCGACAATCTCATAGAAAAAGGAATTGATATTATACAAAATCTAGATCATATTGAAGAGAAAGTATTTTCTATTGAGAAAGATATTGACTCGGAAGCCAATCTTCCACATCACATTAGAGACAGCATAGTTACTGCAATACATTCTGTATATGGCAGTCTTTCTAACATGCGCAGTACCATATCAAGTATTCAGAAACAGTATATGTTTGAAAATTATGGTAAGCCTTCGGAAAATCTTTTGAAATCTATAAAAAACATCAGTTTGTTGTGCAAAAATAAAGATATAGATAAAATTAAATGGAAAAAGTTTTCAAAATCTTTACGAAACATATTGAATCACTTTGAAGATATCAAATTTTACATTAATCTAGACAAAACAGCTAGACTGCCTAGTGATGCTACATTTACGAAAGTGATTATAGAGGAACTTAAAAGCAACATTGAGCAAATTGCTACATGTGAGGAGTTAGATTCAGAATCTAGACATAAAATTGCTAATGCTTTAAAATGCGTAGAGCTTGAACTAAACAATATTGAAATAAGATCTTCATTAGAAGTAAAAGAAAAAATCCCAATTTTTAAAAAAATATCCTGTTGTATTTTAGATGTTACAAAATGTGTTACAAACAATTTAATTAATCAACTAGAAAATAAAGAAGTTCAAGTGATAATTAAAAATGAAATTTTCACTGAGCAGTCTTTGGACCAATTGGAAATAAAAAATGTAAAACAACATAGTGCCGAACAGACTCACACAGAAGTGATTTTAGGAACTGTAACAACGGAAGAGCAAATAGTTCTTGAAGACGCAGCATCACCAACTGTAGATAAATTTGAATATTTACCACAAAAACAACAGGTTGATGATTCATCAAACACAAATAATGATTTCAATGAGTTGATTTCTATTGGTACTCAAGAAACAGTGGTTTCAAGTCAAGAAAATACAGAATGTTCAATTGGACATGACGAAGTCCATGATAAGAAATACAGTATATTAACAGATTTAGTTTTTAAACCTGAATTTTTAAAAGCCCAAGAAGTAGAAGCAAGTACTAGTTTAGAGAGCATTTCAGATATTAAGACAATATTGAAGGAAAACACGCAGGAAATCAATTTAATACAGGATCATTCCTATCAAAATGTTGAAGAACTAAGTAAATCACAGGTAATTGATGAGCAACAGGAAATGAGAAATATACAGCCTGAAATTGCAATGTCCATAAGCCAACAAAGTCCAGAAATCACAAGTGACAATCATAAATTGGCTGTTACAAAATTTACAGATGAAGCAAGTATTAGTGGTGTTAGTGATCAAGTAAACAACACTGAAGCAAGAACATTTGAGGAAAATCAGAATGAAGAAATCAATAAAAAGTCTTCAGAAGAAGTTCTGACTGAAAATATTCAGGAGGTTCTACCATTAACAGGTGAAAATATGCCGATTATGGATTTAACACATAAATATTTAAGTGGCAATGTGGAACAACCATGTGGTAAACAACTTGAAAATGAAAATATGCAGGTCGAGAGTCAGTCAAAACAATATAATATAGAAAAATACGATGACGATACCATCATCAAAGAAGAACAAATCCCAAGCTTAAATCAAGCATCAAGCAAGGTAGATGATACAGAAATTAATGTTCAAAAACAGGTAATAGAAAAGAACGAAACAGATAATTTTGAAATGACAAAAGAGGAAAAGATCGAAGAAGTAAATAACACAAATCAAAAAATAAAAATACAAGAACAACTTTTACAAAAACGAAAAGCCGAAATGGCAATATGTGGAAAGGAAGAATCCACTGAAAAGTTAGAGGGAAACATAGAAGAGAAGGTAAATAAGCTTCAGGAAGAAATGAAAACTGATGAAAGAGAAAGAAAAGAAATAAGGTCTGTGGTTCAAAATCAGACATCTGAAGAAAAAATTTATACAAAACAAAAAGAAGCTGATACAGATATGCCTGTGAAAGATGAAGCAGAGAAAGAAAAACTGCTTCAGAAACAAGAGGGAGATGAGGATGAAAACACAAAAGAAAAACACAAGGATGAAGAAGAAATACTTCTCAACCCAGTATCAACTCTAAAAGAAAAGATAGAGAAAAAAACTAACGATGAAATTGAAAGAAAAGATAAGGAAGAACAGAATACTTATATTCAAGAACAAAAAGCTGAACAAAAGACAAGTATAAAACAAGATCTAGCTGTGGAAGAAAATATTGAGGACGGTACAGTAGTAAAAGACAAGGAGCTACAGAAAGAAAGAGAAAAAGTAGAACAGAAAGCTTTGATTCAAAAACAAAAAACAGACGTAGAAACAAGCATAAAACAAGAATTAAATGAAAAAGAAAAGATTGATGGAAGCAAATTAGAAGAGAAGATAGAGCTAGGAGAAGAAAAGGAAACCAAAGAAACTGAAAAACAAGGAGCTTCTAATCGAACACATAAACCCGAAGAAGAAATACTACCAAAACAAGAATTGTCACGAAATGACAAAAATAAGAAAGACAGATCAGTAGAAGAGAAAAAGCCACAGGAAGTACAGGAAACAGTAGAATTAGGAGATTTTAATCTAAAACATAAATCTGAAGATAAAACACGTTCCAATCAAGAATTAGTTGAAGCAGAGAAGTTTGAGAAAGAAAAAGAATTAAAGAAAAAGAAGGAAGATGAGGCTTTTATCCAACAGCAGAAAACTGAAGAAACAACAAGCATGACACAAGAATTAGCTGACAAAAAAAGTTGCGAGAAAGAAAAACAAGAAAAAGATAAAAAACCACAAGAAGAAAAATATACTACAATAAAAGATAGTATTCAAATACAGACATCTGAAGAACATGTATGTCTCGAGCAAGAAATAGTTGACAAAGAAACAGTTGAGAAAGACAGATCAGAAGAGGATACCCAGCTTAAACAAAAATCAGATAAAAAAGAAAAAGAGCAAAAAGAAGTTATTACGGAAAATCAGAAAATGGCGGAGACAATAATTTTGAAAGAAGAATTAACAGCAAATAAAAACATTGAACACAAAACGGAAGAAAAGGGGAAAGAATCTCAGGAGAAAAAAGAAGAACAGAAAGATCAAGAAGCTTTTAATAAAAATCATAATATTGAAGAGGAACACCATTTACAACAAAAATTGACAGATAATGACAACAAGGAAAACCAAGAACAAGAAAAAGAGGAACGAGAAGGTGAAATTAAAAAACTAATAACCGTAGAGGAATTATGTTTCCAACAAGATATTACTGAAATAGAAAATAATCACAATAAGCAACAACTTCAGGAAGAAAAAGTGGTACAGGAATTTACAGATAAAGAGAAGATTAAGAAAGATAAAATGGATAACGAGAAAAATCATCAGAAAGAAAAAAACGATCAAGAAGCTCTTCTGCAAAAACAAAAAGATGAACAGGAAAAACCTCTTATACAAGAATTATCAGAAAAAGAAACGACCGAGGAAGATAAAGTTGAAAAAGGAAAAGAACTTCAGGAAGAAGAAGATATTAAAGCAAGAGAAGAACAAGAAAATCTTGTTAAAAAGCAAAATTCTGTAAATGACAAACTTCCAAAACAGGAATCATCTGATAAGAATAAGATCGAGATAGATAAAGCTGAGACAGTGAAGTTTCAGGAAGAAACTCTTATTCAGAAACAGAAAGCTGAAGAAGAAAAACAACTAGAACAACAATTAGCTGAAAAAGAAAACATTGATAAAGAGAAAAAGCTTCAGGAAGAAAAAGAAAGAAAAGAAAAAGAGGAACAAGAAGCTCTTATACAAAAACGGAAAACTGAAGAGGAAAAATGTCTAAAACATGAATTAGCTGAAAAAGAAAACACTGAGAGAGAGAAAAAGCTTCTGGAAGAAAAAGAAATAAAAGAAAAACAGGAACAAGAAGCTCATATTCAAAAACAGAAAGCCGATGAGGAAAAACGTCTCAAACATGAATTAGCCGAAAAAGAAAACACCGAGAAAGAGAAAAAGCTTCAGGAAGAAAAAGAAAGAATAGAAAAAGAGGAACAAGAGGCTCTTCTTCAAAAACAGGAAGCTGAAGAAGATAAACGACTAAAACAAAAATTAGCTGAAAAAGAAGACATTGATAAAGAGAAAAAGCTTCAGGAAGAAAAAGAAAGAAAAGAAAAAGAGGAACAAGAAGTTCTTCTACAAAAACGGAAAATTGAAGAGGAAAAACGTCTAAAACATGAATTAGTTGAAAAAGAAAACATTGAGAAAGAGAAGAAACTTCAGCAAGAAAAAGAAATAAAAGAAAAAGACGAACAAGAAGCTCTTAATCAAAAACAGAAAGCTGAAGAGGAAAAACGTCTTAAACATGAATTAGCCGAAAAAGGAAACACCGAGAAAGAGAAAAAGCTTCAGGAAGAAAAAGAAAGAATAGAAAAAGAGGACCAACAGGCTCTTATTCAAAAACAGAAAGCTGAAGAAGAAAAACGACTAAAACAAGAATTAGACGAAAAAGAAAACATTGAGGAAGAGAGCAAACTTCAGGAAGACAAAGAAATAAAAGAAAAAGAGGAACAAGAAGCTCTTATTCAAAGACAGAAAGCTGAAGAGGAAAAACGTCTAAAATATGAATTAGCTGAAAAAGAAAACAAAGAGAAAGAGAAAAAACTACAGGAAGAAAAAGAAAGAAAAGAAAAAGAGGAACAAGAAGCTCTTATTCAAAGACAGAAAGCTGAAGAAGAAAAACGTCTAAAATATGAATTAGCTGAAAAAGAAAACAAAGAGAAAGAGAAAAAACTACAGGAAGAAAAAGAAAGAAAAGAAAAAGAGGAACACGAAGCTCTTATTCAAAAACAGAAAGCTGAAGAGGAAAAACGTCTTAAACAAGAATTAGCTGAAAAAGAAAACATAGAGAAAGAGAAAAGACTTCAAGAAGAAAAAGAAAGAAAAGAAAAAGAGGAACAAGAAGCTCTTATTCAAAAACAGAAAGTTGAAGAGGAAAACCGTCTTAAACAAGAATTAGCTGAAAAAGAAAATATAGAGAAAGAGAAAAGACTTCAAGAAGAAAAAGAAAGAAAAGAAAAAGAGGAACAAGAAGCTCTTATTCAAAAACAGAAAGTTGAAGAGGAAAACCGTCTTAAACAAGAATTAGCTGAAAAAGAAAATAAACAGAAAGAGAAAAGACTTCAAGAAGAAAAAGAAAGAAAAGAGAAAGAGGAACAAGAAGCTCTTAATCAAAAACAGAAATCTGAAGAAGAAAATCGTCTTAAACAAGAATTAGCTGAAAAAGAAAATATAGAGAAAGAGAAAAGACTTCAAGAAGAAAAAGAAAGAAAAGAAAAAGAGGAACAAGAAGCTCTTATTCAAAAACAGAAAGCTGAAGAGGAAAACCGTCTTAAACAAGAATTAGCTGAAAAAGAAAATATAGAGAAAGAGAAAAGACTTCAAGAGGAAAAAGAAAGAACAGAAAAAGAGGAACAAGAAGCTCTTAATCAAAAACAAAAATCTGAAGAGGAATATCGACTTAAACAAGAATTAGCTGAAAAAGAAAATATAGAGCAAGAGAAAAGACTTCAAGAAGAAAAAGAAAGAAAAGAAAAAGAGGAACAAGAAGCTCTTATTCAAAAACAGAAAGCTGAAGAGGAAAAACGTCGAAAACAAGAATTAGCAGAAAAAGAAAGAAAAGAAAAAGAGGAACAAAAAACTCTTATTGAAAAACAGAAAGCTGAAGAGGAAAGACGTATAAAACAGGAATTAGCTGAAAAAGAAAACATTGAGAAAGAGAAAAAACTGCAGGAAGAAAAGGAAAGAAAAGAAAAAGAGGAACAAGAAGCTCTTATTCAAAAACAGAAAGCTGAAGAGGAGAAACGACTAAAACAAGAATTAGACGAAAAAGAAAACACTGAGAAAAAGAAAAGACTTCAAGAAGAAAAAGAAAGAAAAGGAAAAAAGGAACAAGAAGCTCTTATTAAAAAACAGAAAGCTGAAGAGGAAATACGTCTTAAACAAGAATTAGCTGAAAAAGAAAATATAGAGAAAGAGAAAAGACTTCAAGAAGAAAAAGAAAGAAAAGAAAAAGAGGAACAAGAAGCTCTTATTCAAAAACAGAAAGCTGAAGAGGAAAACCGTCTTAAACAAGAATTAGCTGAAAAAGAAAATATAGAGAAAGAGAAAAGACTTCAAGAGGAAAAAGAAAGAAAAGAAAAAGAGGAACAAGAAGCTCTTAATCAAAAACAGAAATCTGAAGAGGAATATCGACTTAAACAAGAATTAGCTGAAAAAGAAAAAATAGAGCAAGAGAAAAGACTTCAAGAAGAAAAAGAAAGAAAAGAAAAAGAGGAACAAGAATCTCTTATTCAAAAACAGAAAGCTGAAGAGGAAAAACGTCGAAAACAAGAATTAGCAGAAAAAGAAAGAAAAGAAAAAGAGGAACAAAAAACTCTTATTGAAAAACAGAAAGCTGAAGAGGAAAGACGTATAAAACAGGAATTAGCTGAAAAAGAAAACATTGAGAAAGAGAAAAAACTGCAGGAAGAAAAGGAAAGAAAAGAAAAAGAGGAAAAGGAAGCTCTTATTCAAAAACAGAAAGCTGAAGAGGAAATACGTCTTAAACAAGAATTAGTTGAAAAAGAAAATATTGAGAAAGAGAAGAAACTTCAGCAAGAAAAAGAAAGAAAAGAAAAAGAGGAACAAGAAGCTCTTATTCAAAAACAGAAAGCTGAAGAGGAAAACCGTCTAAAATATGAATTAGCTGAAAAAGAAAACAAAGAGAAAGAGAAAAAACTACAGGAAGAAAAAGATATAAAAGAAAAAGAGGAACAAGAAGCTCTTATTAAAAAACAGAAAGCTAAAGAGAAAAAACGTCTCAAACAAGAATTAGTTGAAAAAGAAAACATTGAGAAAGAGAAAAAACTTCAGAAAGAAAAAGAAAAAGAGGAACAAGAAGCTCTTATTCAAAAACAGAAAGCTGAAGAAGAAAACCGTCTAAAATATGAATTAGCTGAAAAAGAAAACAAAGAGAAAGAGAAAAAACTACAGGAAGAAAAAGAAAGAAAAGAAAAAGAGGAACACGAAGCTCTTATTCAAAAACAGAAAGCTGAAGAGGAAAAACGTCTCAAACAAGAATTAGCTGAAAAAGAGAACATTGAGAAAGAGAAAAATCTTCAGGAAGAAAAAGAAATAAAAGAAAAAGCGGAACATGAAGCTCTTATTCAAAAACAGAAAGCTGAAGAGGAAAACCGTCTAAAACAAGAATTAGCTGAAAAAGAAAAGATTGATAAAGACAAAGTTGAGAAAAACAAAAAACTTCAGGAAGAAAAAGAAAAAAGGAAACATGAAGCTCTTATCAAAAAACAGAAAGTTGAAGAGGAAAAACGTCTTAAATTAGAATCAGTCGATAGAGAAAATATTGAGAAAGACAAAGTTAAGAAAAATAAAAAGCTTCAGGAAGAAAAAGAAAAAGAGGAACAAGAAGTTCTTATTAAAAAACAGAAATCTGAAGAGGAAAAACGTGTTCAACAAGAATTAGCTGAAAAAGGAAAACAGAAATCTGAAGAGGAAAAACGTGTTCAACAAGAATTAGCTGAAAAAGGAAAAATTATGGAAGACAAATTAGAAAATGAGATAAATCTTCAGGAGGACAAAGAATCTAGGGTCAGAAAAGAGACAGAGGTCAATATTCCAAATCAGAAAGCTAAAGAGGAAAAATGCTTAAAACAGGAAAATGCTGGAACAGATCAAATTAAGATAGAGGGAATGGAGCAAGAAAATGAGTTCGCAGAAGAAAAGGATGAAAGCAAGAATAGAGGAAGAAAAGGAAAAGACGAACAAAAATATTTTATTGAAAAACCAAAAACTAAAGAGGAAATTAGTGTAAAACAAACCGTTACTGGGACGGAAAACGAAGAGAAAAGAAAAGTACAAAAAGACAAGAAAACTAAAGAAGAAAAATTAGGCAAAGGAAAAAGTAAACACATGAAAGACAAACTTGAACAAAAAGTAGAAGTTAATCATGAGGCAGAGAAAAATAATCAGGAAGACAAAGCAATGGGATTTGACCTACAAGACGACTATAGTATAGATAAGAAAGCATCAAAAACGCGGCGGCAAAGGGATACAGACAATGTTTCGATGAAAATACCAGATATGAATGAATTTTCTTTGGAAAATGTAAAAATTAATTCAGCTGCTCAGCAAGAAACTACACAGCATTATATCAAAGAGTATCATTATGAACCTACGGGGCGACACAAATCAGATGATAGTGAAAAACCTAGATTCATTGATCACAGTCATCGAGATTATACAATGGAATTCGTTAGACCTTCAGGATATAGAGAAAGATCTTTTGGTGTCGATAATATTGTAACTGATAGAGAAAACATTGGCAAAAGTCCAGCTATTTACAAAGCGGGCGCACTTAAGTTAGATGCGCAACTACGATCCTCACTGCCCCCACTATCCAGTCCCATCACTAAAAACAGTGAATCTTCAGAACGTAGGTCAGAAACGAGACTGCGATCGAAAGCTTTGAGTGAGGCTAGAAGTATTATGTCTGAGAAAAGAAGTAGTGGTGTGCGTGATATTAAGAGAAAGCCGGTATTCTCCACTTATCTCACAGATCGAACTGCAGTAGAAGGATCTAGGGTCAAGTTAACTTGTAGTGTGTTGTCATCAACTGATCCAATAGTAACTTGGTACAGAAATGGTGTGCCTTTAGACGACAAACTGAAGTATAAGACTAAAATAATGAACGGATTGATTACTCTGGAGGTCCTTAATGCAGTTCCTAGAGATTCTGCTGAATACACTTGTACTGTTGAGAATGAAAATGGCACCGTGAATACCTCAGCTAATCTCAAAGTTTATCCCAGCTTCGAAGCATCTCCTATACCACCTACATTCACCCGTTCTATTCGCGGTAAGTGACTTTTTTTTTTAATTATCTCCCCAGTCTATGGTTTAGTCTCGGTACACTAGTAATTATAATTAATATATATACTGGGAGGAACAAAATGACCGACACAGCCGAAAGTTTCAAGTTAGGTTACCTGCAAACGTTCATTTTATTTGACAAATATTTAAAAATAGAGGAGGTGTAAAAATGGAGTAAAAATTTTAAATTTCTAAGTGTTAACAGCCCTATAACGCGCATGCGCAATATCGATTGTGTGCAGATTACAACGAACCGCGAAATACATTAATTTAATTTAATTATTTACCGATATCTTAATGATAGTCGATGCTGAAAATGTCCACTTCCTCTCTGAAGACTGAGCTAAGCACGCTCTTTTCAATGCCGGTGCATGCACGCGCAAAACACATCACATTTCACACAAAACTAAACACAATCTTCACTAAACTAAACTTAACACTCAAGACGAACACTTTAGTATCTTATTAACAAAAATTCAATTAAAAATGCACTAGAACAAAACAAAAATCGACAAAAAAGTCGCTTCGCAGCGGTGCGTCGGCGGCGATGCGCAACAACACTCCAGCGCAAAAGGTCGACGGCGACTGATCGGCCGGAATATATCGACAGAATAATGAAGCCGCCTGGCGGCTAGCGGGCGGGTGGGGCTTTGATATCGAGGGACGAACTCGGTTCACATTTTTTTTCGTCTTTTGATATCACGCATTTTTTAATGTTCTTTTTAAATGCTATTTTAATAACAAATTCCTCAATGATTTTAAAACAAAGTTCATTTGTGTTAATGATGAATCGCTGGAAGATTTGTGAGTTTATCGAGTTTAATTAACGATCCCGTTGTTAAAGGAGTATTACCCCATTCAAACAATTTTTTTGGAGAATTGCTTTTTAAAATCACGTAGGTTAATGTTAGACTGATCTCTCTACAATAATTTAGAAAATTTTACACTCGGTTTCTTAATTGAGAATTTAAAGTTAAACGTCTCAAACTAACATTACTTAGTTTTCGTTTCCGATTTTAGTTTTTTGATGCTCAGTTGATAGCAGTTTGATAAAACTAGTACTATTTGACTTGTGAAATTAAAAAAAAAAAAACTTAGGTTATTGAGAATAAGCAGTAGAAATTTTCTACTTTTTTCAAATCAGAAACCGGCTGTTAGTCTGTAAATCGATTTAAGCATTTTGACTGCCTTGTTTATTGATTGTCTTGTAGAATTCGCATGAAAGCAGTCTTATAAATCACAAACTAGTTTATTTAGTTTTTAGAAATGAAGAAGTCAATGACCGATTTAAAACTTTTCCTTAGTACGTCCCAAAAACAGCTGACTCAGGGTAGAAAACACTCATTTTTTTCAAAAACTTTGTAATTTAATATCTCCGAAACTATTTGACCTAGACTTTTAATTGTTTTTACATCATATTAAAGACAAATAGTACTCACCAGGAACCTCGGGAGTGTCGGTCGTTCTGTTCCACTGAGTATATAATTTGCGTTTCACCTTCAAAGACAGATAAACTTGTGTAAAACTTCTAGTTCTTTTGTAATTTCTAATACAATAATTCTAATGTTTTAACAGATACTTATCATTTGGCTGAAAACGAGTTAGTTCTGGAGTGTCGCATTCGAGGTCAGCCTCTTCCTACTATAACTTGGATGAAGAATGACAAGCCAGTGAGCTCCGACGACAGGTTCCAAGCTTATTATCTGGCAGACGGTGTGTGCAGATTAGCTATCTCTCACCCCACACCAGAAGACAGCGGGAAGTATACATGCAAAGCTGAAAACTCTGTTTGGTCAGATCAAATCACTCACGTTGTCAACTTTACGGGTAAGTTTTAAGATTTGGCGGCAGATGTGTAAGGCCTGTGCCTGTCAAAAAATATAGCAAAATACATCTGATAGACTACTCTATATTATATATATTACGGCTAAAGGTGGGTGTGAACATAAACTTAAGATTAGCTGGCTAAACTTAGGTTTAACTCCGAGGAGGAGTCAATGTTAGTATCTTCTATCTTTAGCCGGCTAAACTTAAGTGTAACAGCAAGCCCTTGGCTAAAAATGTAGAGGAAATGGAAAAGAAATTTATTAAAAAATAATCATTCTCATTATATATGTCGTCGCCCGATCATTGTATCGGCCTGATCGTGATATGCCTGGACACATCGAGATACGCCGACACTTCATGATTTGGCCGGCCATATCAAGATGTGCCCAATCAAATGTTGGGCAGATCGACGAGAATAACATTTTTGTCGATATTGCCAGCTCAACACTGAGGGGATCATGAAGCAGTTGCATTTCGCGCCGTTAGAACTGTTAGAATTGGTAAGTGCGAGCGTGCTGCGGCAGCCGGCTGCCGGCGAAGTGTCAGAAAGAAATCGCTTTTGTTGAAGGAAACATATTTGGTAGACAAATTATATTCCCTTGTATGGCTGGGCAAATCGTCAAAGGATGATCGTCGAACGATATGGCCGGTGTAGAATGGCCAGATCATGAAGTGCCTGGACATACCACAATCTGGCCAATACAACGATCGGGCGACGACATATATACTTTTATGTACCTATGTAGGTATTCAGAATTACAATTACTAAATACCCGGTGGAACAGAACGACCAACACTCCCGAGGTTCCTGAAGAGTACTACTTGTCTTTAATATGATGTAAAAAAAAATTATATGCCTTGGTCAAACAGTATCGGAGATACGTACTAAGGAAAAGTTTTTAATCGGTCATTGACTTCTTCATATCTAAAAACGAAATAAACTAGTTTGTGATTTATAAGACCGCTTCCATGCAAATAATACCAAACAATCTATAAACAAGACAGTCAAAATGCTTAAATCGATTTCCAGACTAACAGTCGGTTTCTGATTTGAAAAAAGTAGATAATCTCTACTGCTTATTCTAAATAACCTAAGTTTTTTTTTTAATTTCACAAGTCAAATAGTACTAGTTTTATCAAACTGCTATCAACTGAACATCAAAAAACTAAAATCGGAAACGAGAACTAAGTGTTGTTAGTTTGAGACGTTTAACTTTAAATTCTCAATTCAGAAACCGAGTGTAAAATTTTCTAAATTATTGTAGAGAGATCAGTCAAACATTAACCTACGTTATTTTAAAAGAGCAGTTCTCCAAAAATTTTTTTGAATGGGTAATACTCCTTTAACAACGGGATCGTTAATTAAACTCGATAAACTCACAAATCTTTCAGCGATTCATCACTAACACAAATGTACTTTGTTTTAAAAACATTGAGGAATTTGTTATTAAAATAGTATTAAAGTATGCATTTAAAAAGAACATTATAAAATGCATAAAATCAAAAGACGAATTAAAAAAAGGTGAACCGAGTTTGACCCTGGATAAAAGCCCCATCAGCCCGACAACCGCTACCCCGCTTCATTGTTATGTCGGGGGTTCCTGTAACTCAGTTGCATAAAATAATAATACAATTCCTAACGGAGCTCAGTCGCCGCTGCGCTGGAGTCTTGTTGCGCATCGCCGCCGACGCACCGCTGCGAAGTGCCTTTTTTGTCGATTTTTATTTTAGTGCATTTTTAATTGAATCTTTGTTAATAAGATACTACAGTGTTCGTCTTGACTGTTAAGTCTAGTTTAGTAAAGATGGTGTTTAGTTGTGTGTGAAATGTGATGTGTTTTGCGCATGCATGCAAAAGAGCGTGCTTAGCTCAGTCTTCAGAGAGGAAATGGACATTTTCAGCATCGACTATCATCAAGATATCGGTAAATAATTAAATTAAATTAATGTATTTCGCGGTCCATTGTTATCTGCGCATGCGCGTTATAGGGCTCTCAACACATAGAAATTAAAATTTGTTTACTCCATTTTTACACCTTCTTCAAAATATTTGACAAATAAAATTATGTTTGCATGTAACCTGACTTGAAACTTTCGGCTGTGTCGGTCACTTTGTGGCTCCCGGTATTCTACTACTACTATCAGATGTATTTTGCTATATTGTTTGAACTTTTAATCAAAATTATTCAAGGATCATTCCTAAAGTAATATATCTCGTCAACAAAAGCGCAACATGCAAACAAATAAATGTGTACTAACGGCTCTGGCGTAGTTCGAATTGCAACCAATTGTCATATTGGATTCTATAGAATTCTCAGTTCTATTATAATATAGAATTCTCAGTTCTATATTATTCAATCACTTACCCAGTTAGATATTATTGATTTGTATTCACTCATTAAAATTCACTGATTTTAAGAATTCTTTCGATGATTCAAAATTAACAATGATGGTTGCCATTCGCTACAAAATATCATTTAAAGAAAGAGTATTATCCTGAACTCGTCACAGAATAAGTAATGAAAAATTCCGTGCTCTTTTCATTCAGTCCGAATTTATAGTTGTTAAAAATATAAATTTGTTCAAATATTTTAAAAATATATTTTATTGTTTACTGTGAAATTTGTCCGCCCCCTAAAAATGCCGTTTCCCCTGTTCCCCCGGCGCCCACTACGCTACGCCACTAAGCCACTGTATTTACTACTTCATTTAATGAGTTTTCGAGCTGCATTTCTGAAATATTGGCGCAAGTACCAAGGACATGCATATATAACGTACTCAAATGTTACTGAAATCGGAAACAATCAAGTTTTGTACCAGTCCGTCATTTTTCGTCCGTTATTATTGTGTTTCGCTCGAGATCATACAAAACATGTTCTGTTCCTCAGTGTACAGTTGGAGAGCTAAATACATAACTATGAAAAAATGACCTAAACATTGATTAACAGCTAACCAGGATTTTTAGATAAACCATATCTCATTTAAGCAATTTTTTGCTAAAACTTACAATTATCGAAAAGTCATTAAGAAATATATTTGACTAACAACATATTTATCTAACGATAGTTAAGAATTAATCAAATTGGCTAAACGCATTAAAGGTTATTGCTTGTTTTAGGAAAAGAACGCCGCCTCAGTCCAAACTTAACGACTGTCGAAAAATCTCGCCAGTCACGTCATATATTTGAATCTCGAAAACCACACTTCGGCAACGTCCTGAGCGATTACAAAGTCACAAGCGGTGGTACGATTGGACTTCAAGTCGAAATCCAAGGATCACCGACTAGAGTGGAGTGGTTACGGGAAGGTCGTTCTGTGACCGCCGTCTATTCAAACGCAAGGACAATGGTTGAACACGGACTGTACACCCTCGCTCTGTCTGATGTCACCGAAAAAGACTCCGGAATGTTTACATGTAGAGCATTCAGCAGTCACGGTATTGTCGATATGAACGCTGCAATTACCGTGGTCCAACCCGGTGAGTTATCCGGTAAGCCTGCTATTATAGTAGGAAGACCCGAGAAAGAAGTTCAAATATCTATCGGCGAAGACCTCAATATATCGTTTAGGGTTCAAGGGGAACCTAAACCGAAGGGTAAGTTCTATCATTGAGCATGTCGAAATAGTTGTACCCGATAACAAACAATAAGTAATTATGACGCGTGTGCTTTCGCAGTGATCTTCATGAAAGGTATCCGGGACATCACGAACAGTCAGCGTGTCTGTAAGATGACTTTAGACGATTACGTGAAGTTTAGCGTGAAGAGATCCGTCATATCAGATGCTGGCACATACTGCATTCTAGCGAGAAATGCCTACGGCTGCGATAGAGCTTTCGTAACTGTCATGGTAAGACAAGAGATTTATTGTAATTTTATATAACTGAGAATGATTCTGAAGAGCTAAACAGGAACAAAGATAATAAACTACATTTTAACGGCCCGACTTTTGACCGCACTCTGTTGTTTTTAAGAATTTTTTTTCTACTATTAGAGTCAGTTTTAGTTTATATGTATGTATATTTGATTAATTAATACAAAACCATAACCACTAATCCGATTTCAGTAATCGGTACACTACTGACGAAGATATTGTATGACATACATACAAAAAATATTTTTTTTGTTTATAGATAAGACAGAGAGCATCCTCCGATAACTTAATATCAGACTGGACATATCCGAGTGATGATGCAATCTTAAATGTTACCGAGAGGAAATACAAATGTAAGTGTTTATTAATTATGTGAAATTATGTTGCCAGCGTTTCTATAGTAGTTTGGCCCACCCACAAAGTTATACATTGATTATTTTACGCTATTTTATAACCAATGAATTAATAAATTTGAAAAAAGAAAATCATCGCAATTCTACATCGCAAATTTTTTTATCTTAAAACAAATCGAAACACAGAAAATGCATTCGTCAACAGCTTTTTTGATGTTGGTGCTAGACGTGTTATTAGTAAGAAGTAAAAAAGCATTTTCGGGAATGTTTCTTGAGTTATTATGTTTTCTCTTATGTACATGATTTTTTTTTTATAAAAACTGGCATCAACCAAAAAGAAAATTATTGGCACATCCTCTTTTTATGGTTCCGAAGTAAACAAACAGCCTTATAGTATGACCATGTCAGCCTCCGTCCGTTAATTACGCCAACAAAGCAGTGAAGTAAAATTTTGAAAAAATAAATGAAGGTATCTTCCCTACATGTGAAGTGAAGATAATAATTTGACTTGTAAGTTTTTAACCGACCTTTAAAGAAATGAATTTATCAATTTGACCTGAATATATGTAATTTTGTTGGAATGGGCCGCTATATTCATTTAACTTAGTCTATATGCTCTTCTAAACAAATTGTATGTGTGTCTATATGTTTGACAACGTATTTCTCGTAAATTAGACAGTGGATTGAAATGATACTTTTTGCTTTATTAACTGTTTATCAAGTGGATCTTTAGGGAACAGCATAAAAGAAAACTTACCAAATTACTTAAGAAACAAACTGCTACCAGAATAGAATCTCAGGTCAGAACTTCGACACCAATAAAAACGCATCGGCGCCAAATACGAATTATCTTATAAATATAAGTTGTTAATGATTAAATACAGATGAAGGTTATTATTAGTTCGAAGTAATAACGATCGGTGAGAACTTATATTATATAAGAAAGAAATGAAAATATAATAAAATAAAAAAAAATGAAAATGACTTCAAAAATTTATATTCAAGATAAAAATTTTCTGTATATGTCTGACGTATCGTGTTCGGGGCAAGACCTGGCATTGTCGTTTCTACGTTTAAAATAGATTTTGCGATTTGATTAAAACCGAACCACATAATTCTGACAGAGGCTATTGGCACGACATGATAGCTGGCAGTTTATCAAATATCTTATACGGTCATGTCGCGCTGATAATGAAACTCGTTTATAGCTGTGCCTGAACGCATCCCGGGCGAACCGACGGTCGTGGACGGGGGAAATAAGTGGGCTTCCCTCGCGTGGCCGAAACCCGACTGCAGCGCGACGGCGCCCGTCCTGGCATACAAGGTCGAGAGCTGGCTGGTGGGCAAGGAAGGAGGCGCACGCTGGACCGAACTGGGCATCACGCCACTTAACTCGTTCGACGCATTCAATTTGAAACAAGGAGAACAGTACCACTTTAGAGTGACGCCCCGCAACAGATACGGCTGGGGTGAATCTGTGCAAACTAGTACACCTGTCGGGGTCGGCTCGGCCGGAGACAGGCCAGAGTTCGTCGATATTTTGCCCGGGCAGTTGAAGGTTTTGGTCGGACGAATGGCGAGCTTGAGCTGTAGCGTTAAAGGGAAACCGACACCAGAAGTTGTTTGGATGAAGAACGGGCACGAGATCGAGGACGGCGATAGGAGAGTGAAGAGTTCCTTCAACGGCTACGACTGCAAGCTGACCATCGACGACATAACAGCGGAAGATGAGGCACGTTACAGCTGCGAGGCGACCAATCCGCACGGTCGAGCGTCCACGTACGCCAGGCTCGCCGTTGTCACTGACCGGCTCGTTTGGGAAGCCGATTCAAAGCTCAAAAGGTAAAACTTCTTACAACTTTTATAATGATGATATTAAATTAAGACACGTTCCGCAACCAGTTTATTTGGTAATCAAATTTGTGTTATTCTGACGAATGTCTGTCTAGAGATGTCCATATTCTTCTTATAGAGGATTTTTTTTTATATTCATGTCTGTCTATTTTTACAAGCGACTTGTTTCTAACGATTCGATGATCCGTAGGGAGTATACTTAAGTTGAGGTACATATTACTACTTAGGGAACGATCGTCGGACGGCGGTGGCGAGTACCCGCCGCAGTTCACGATGCGCCTGCGCGACCGGCGCGTGCAGACCACCTATCCGGTGCGGCTCACGTGCCAGGTGGTGGGGAGCCCTCCCCCCACCCTCACTTGGTACAAGGACGGCCAGGAAGTCACGTTGGACGGTATGTTATAGTGCGCTTCTACCTATACTAATAATAAATTACATGTATATGTCGCAGTCAACAAAGTTGAATGGCGCCAACAAAGTTGACTGAATCATTATGACATTTGGACAATTCAAAAGCCGGAAAAGGTTCATTTAGTTTTATTATCTGTTAAAAAATAACCTCCTGAATTGGATCGTACGGACAATTAATACTATAAGTAAGAGGATCTTTAAATACATGACATGTAGTAATATTTCTATAAAAAATACTTTAGTAGAATGGTGTTATTCAATATATCACATTAAATTAAAAACATACAGTCAGTTTAAAGCGACATTACCCATACAAATTTGATATTCATTAGAGCTTCAAGGAGTCATTACCCCTTAATGATCGTTTGTGCAACTGACCGATACTTATCAATGTTTACATTGTGGTCGATGTTTACAAGTGATATAGAAATACGAGTGAATACTGGAAATATGGCGAATGGAGCCTTACACTCCATTATAGCCAGCCAGAAGATGTCTAGGAAGGCTCGCCTGGCTGTATATAGCGGAGTTTTGGTTCCAATATTGATGTATGGAAGTGAATGTTGGGTATGGCAGAAACAGTATAAATGCAGTAGAAAGGAGAGCGCTGATTGATGATTGGAGTGATTTCTAAACAGTGTGATAAGAGAGCGATGTGGCACGAAAGTTAATATAGTGACTAAGATTGATAAAGGGATGCTTAAATGGTTCGGCCACATCGAAAGGATGAGTGAAAGGCGATTAACAAATCATATTTATGAAGCGAGTGAGCCAGGGAATATTCAAAGGGGAAGACCTAAATGAATGAACCGCGACCATATCGCTGACTAACTAAAGAAAGGCTAGATCTAGAGTACATTAAACCGGCGTTTTTATATGAAAAGCTTGACGCGCGTGGAGGAGGCGACAGAGGTACGTCAGGATCATGTAGAATAGAAGGAGGTGCACGGTCTCTGCTTACTCCGCCGGGAAACAGGCGTGACAATATAGATATATAAATTGCTCGAGTACTCTTCACAAATGTTTTATAAGGGAAAACAGCTATGTTTTATAAGATGCCATAAGTGTTTGGTCGACGTTTACTAATGTGTTCGTTGATTTCGATGCACTTTGATTGATTCAAGTTCGATCTACTTTTACCTATATTTGTTTGTATCTCTGTCTATGGTTTCTTAACATTCATAACTGTCTATACCAATAACCAATAAAACGTATCTACCTGATCGTGAGGGGTGTGTCTCGGTCTCCCCTGTTTGTGTATTTAAATCAGTTTAATCTTTTCTCATCCGACATTCTTGCCAAAAGTCGTGTTTCCGTTTAATTTGAATCATAACCATCAGCGTAGACATGTTGGTCTGCAACGGGAGACCCCGTACCATACGAGACAATGGCAGGCTACGATTTTAGATTCAGAGGAACCTCTTAAAAAGGTTTATATTCAAAAGTAAACTTATTCTAAAAATTCAAAACGCTTATTAACAAATTCAGCGAGGATTTTTTGCTGTTTCATAATTTAGTTTTGTACTTTACTGTTATTGGTAAGTATATAAAATGTATAACCTGTTGATATGAGTTACAGATATGTACTTAGTATGTATGGCTACCGCATATTTAAATAAATAAAAAAACAATAACGTTCATGGATTACCTACAAATAAACCGAGAGATACTAAGAACCTGTTGTTTTCATGTTTAGGTCGTCACACCGCGTCGCAGGATGAACACTTCCACACGCTCGAGATAGCACCGACCACGCTGGAGGACGGCGGCGTGTACGAGGCCATGGCGAGGAACAGCTGCGGCGCCATCAGCTGCCGCTGCAGTCTGGTGGTGGACAAAGGGATCAGGGCTTACGTCGCTCCAGAATTCTGTTGCGGCTTGGAGCCATTGTATACACTTTATGAAGGTTACTTCACTGTTGATTGTTTAAAGATTTTCAATACTGAAGTGAAAGACTTATAAACGATTAATATTTAAAGTTTAATTAGCACCTACTAGTTTTTATGTGTGAAATATACCATCAGTTTAAGTACTTAACTTCTTCACCTAACATACCAGGCGAGGAGCTCAGGATATCAGCGGTAGTAGAGGCGTACCCGTCGGTGGGTGTGACGTGGTACAGGGACGGTGTGCGGCTGCGGCCGAGTCGCCGGGCGGTCATGACCTTGGACCGGGACGGCCAGATAGAGCTCGCGCTGGCCTCCCTCACCGCGCGCGACGCGGGCGTCTACTCCTGCACCGCGTCCAACGAGGTCGGCAGAGCCACCACCTCGGGCAAAGTGGAGGTCGTAGCCAACGGAGCGACCTCCCGCTCCGACGTGATCGTGAGCCCGCCCGTCCTGCTCAGCCCGGACGTGCCGTGAGTAACAATACCCGCCACCTAAACGGTATTATACTTTCATTGCTAAAGTAGCGTTAATTTCAATAAGTCACAACACACTAAATATTTTGGGGAAATAAACACGTTTTCACGATACCTTTAAATTAATCCAATTTTCAATTCCCGTGAAAATATTGTCCGCCATATTCATGACGTCATTCGGCTATGTACAGATTAAAATATGTCCTTCAAATTAAGTTTAAGATTCAAAATCAGAATAAATGTATCTTTTTTTCGATGTAAATTTTAGTTTTTGTTCAACGGTGACTTACATTTTACAACCGAAATAAACATATTAATAAGCTTATCATTTTGTCACTTTCAAATCTCTTGTCAGTTAAAGTAAGCAATAGTCTTCCCCCTCACCTCGTTCCCCCTTACCAACTAATTAAACGTTGTAAAAAGGATTAAATAATAATTAAATTTAGCGTAAGTATTCAACATATTAACAAATATACATTAACATGAGATAGTTATTTATTAGTAAGTATTTTCAGATATTCCAAAGAGCCGATGTTCGTGAGGAAACCTCGGTCGAGTGAGGCCAGGGAGGGCGACACTGTGATCATACAGTGCGAGGTGGTGGGAGACCCCAAGCCCGACGTCTACTGGCTGAGAGATTTCCTTAAGGTAAGTGTACCTACTGGAGGCTTAGAATATACCGTCCGTGATCTATCACGCACGCACGGCACATGTGTACGTCGATTGTTGTGTGGTTACAGCCGGATTACTATAGGGACGCGACTCACTTCAGGCGCGTGGGCGAGGGGCCCGAGTACAGGTTCGAGATCCCGCACGCCAAGCTCGACTACACCGGCGCCTACTCGGTGGTGGCCCAGAACGTGCACGGTCAGACGAAGGCGATCATATCGCTGCAGGTATTGGCCAAAGGTGCGTACCTGTAACGTAATGTTATTATATCTAAGTTTGCCGTTGCATTACCGTCTGTCTATCTGAGTCTTATACGCTTTAAGAAATCTTAATATACATAAAACTAATCAGTCAGTAATAGTGAAGGAGACGTAAGAATATGTTTTTATAATATATGTTCTCCTATCAGTTCCATTTTATAATGTACAATAGCAATTGAAAGTAAATTTAATGATATCGTATAGCAAAACTGATTTATAAAAAGATAATTTTGACTATAAAGTGATGAATAGAGGATAGGTTAGTATTACATTGTATTTAAAGTTAACGCTAGCGTAATAGCTCATATAATTTTAAAGACGGTTTGGATGAGACTATTTAACTATCCCTGTAAACGACGCTGCGTGCGCCCGCGTCGTGTAGGGATGTGCCCGTTTTGCATGAACAGGATCTGATAATATTTGATTTTTTTTCAGATATAAGCTGTACAGAAGAACATAACATAAGATATGGGTAAGCTGTGGCTTATTGTATCATATATATAGGTGTAAATTGCTACAACTAACATTTATGAACAGTTATAAACGCTATGCCAGGGAAACGTGAGGTCCCAGATCGTTTTCTCTGTCTACAAGTTGTACGGTAGTAATATTCGCAGGCTTGAACGGTGGTAATATTCGCAGGCGTGTGGACGTGATCCCTCGGTTCGAGAGGGAGTTAACGGACCTGCTGTGTCACGACGGTGATGCGGTGGAATTCCAGTGCATGGTCTCCGGAGACCCAGAACCTGACATCAGGTGGTTCCACTATACCGAGGTGAGTTTATTATATACACCAGTTGTTAAATTAAGGTACCATTCGTGTCCTGTAGCTTGTTTTGTCCAAATATACATTTAGATATAGTTAACTCATTGATCATCGGTCGCACGGTATGTACAAGTAATAAACTATCATCCACATACAACAGTGAAAACTATATTGAAATCTGTCCATTGATTTACGAGCAACTATATATAGTAACGGATAGCGCACCTCCACCTGCACCTGCGCACCTTGGAGCTCGCCGCCTGCGTGCAGCAAACGTCTGTAGCGCGACTGTTGTACGGTTACAGTTGATCCGCGAGTGTCCCGACTTCGAGTGCTCGTACGAGGGGGGCGCGGCCAGGTTCAGGATAAGGCAGGTGACCGCCGACGACGAGGGCACGTACCGGTGCGAGGCGCACAACCGCCTCGGCAAGGCCGTCTCCACAGCCTGCCTCGTCGTATACCGTGAATATATTTCATTATCAAATCAATAATATGATCTCTATACTACTATAAGTTTGACAGTTATAAGTGTACACAACAGCGTACACGATATAATTTAACGTTTAGTAGTTAATCAAATCGTTTATTTAGTTTGATTAAAAAGAATGTGTGTATCAGTTATAAACGCCTACAGTCACGTGCACTAGCACTAGTGGCGGTAGTGGTGTTACATTACATATATACAGACGTGTCCCCCCCCCCAATTGCGCAGCGCCCGGCGAGCCCAACACGCTGAGCCAGCGGCTGCGGCGGCCGCCGGCGCTGCGCTCCGCGGCGTCCACGCCCCGCTCCACGCCGCGGCACACGCCCGCGCGCTCCCTCTCCAGGACACCGGGTAATGATTGCGCCGTTCAATTGGACGGCTAAAATATCGATCTGTCCTGCGGTTCTGTAAAAATCCAAACCCGTTTTCGAATCCAATCGGGTGTTCGAATTCGAGTCCGACCTTGAATTGGTAATAACATTACGTGGGATAAGTAAAATGAGTTTTATAATAATGTTGGAATAGAATATCTGAAACACTTATATTCAATCAATTTTGTACATTAGAATAGAATAGAATATAAATTCTTATACAAAAAATGGAATCAATAGAATTTGTACACTAGATGATGTGAAGGACACATCAGTGATTTCGAATTCAGGTCTGGATTTTTACAGAATCGTAAGGCAAGTGAGTAACCGAAAACGACATTCTTATAGCGCGACTCTCGATCTAAGGCAATACATATATGACAAATCTCGGGAAAATTGGGACAAGTTTAATTAGAAATCGGACTCGGGAAATATGGGACGGGTGACGACCCTGCTGGGTATACACAATATCAGTGCTACTTATAAAAAAGGTTTAGTGTCAGAGTAAATTTACGCTATAATTGCAATTTAAGTGTTAGTCCATATTCATATTACACAGAGAATAAGCAAATCTACTACCTTCTAGGAGCAGATATTACACCCGTAGAATCTCGTACTAGGTTAATCTTTGTTAAGTCTCTGTTTAATAATATGGATTTTAACTAATACTTAGTGCAGTCTCAGCGTAAATTTACTCCAACGCTAAACCTTGTTTATAAGTAGCTCTGTATGACTGTATTTTATTAACTTAGAGACAATACCATAGTAAGACGCCCACTACTAAACATGGATCTCCCTCATAGATATTGTAAAATGAAAACAGTATATAATTCGTACGCTCTATCCCATTTATAATATACCTATATCGTAATGGCCCAGGACCAGAGGCGATGGACCAGAGGCGGGCGTGCAGTCCGTCACGGCAAATGGCGCCGAAGTTCTACACGTACCCGTTCAACAAGGTGGTGGAAGAGGGGGAGCACGTGGTGTTCCAGTGCGCAGTGAGGGGCCTGCCCGCCCCGTGGGCCACGTGGGACAAGGACGGCATCATCGTCACGCCCTCCTCGCGAATCACGATCAGGGAGAAGGACGAGATACTGAGGATCTTGGAAATAGAACAAGTCACCGTAGAGGACGTCGGCCTGTACAGGATCACTCTGGAGAACGACTACGGCAGAGTGGAGGCGTCCGCGCGGCTGGAGGTCATCACGCAGCAGGGCAAGTTCTATGCGGGCGTCAGGTCTTACAGCGCCTCCCCCAGGAGAGCCCACTCCTCCAGGAGGATGCCCTCTCTGACCAGACAAGACTGATTCCAATTAACAATTCGAAAACTGTAAGTTTACCTATATCGGTTTGTAGCGAAGCGATTTGGGTACCCGTATTTAGCTGGCGACACTGGCCCACGCTGCTGAGCGATCTTAATAAGTTTTCTTTTTTATATTGTTCGGTGTTTTAAGAGAACATATTTTCATTTCAGGATATAATTACAAACCCGAGGAAACGGCGCCAAGATCTTATTAGAAAGTCATTTTTTCTCTAATTTATTGTTATTATTTGTTCGTGCATTTTATCATTACCTATTTATTGTCTTCGTGTTACTATTATTTAGATATGTTTTTTATCACGTTAACCGACAAAAGTTGTTTCACGTCGAAAGTTTTTTGAAATTTAGCTAAGTAACTAATTATTTATTTAAATGTTATATTTACCGTTACTTATTGTATGATATAGTCGTTTTTTATCTCAATAAACTTACTCATAGGATGCGTTGTCTTGGTAGGTTATTTTTTAATGTTGTGTTTATATTTGTTTTTAAGCGGGACATGTTTTTATACACATACTACTACTACGAGTGAAACAACTTAAATTTTATATTTTTAGGTTGTAAATTAGTATTATTATAAAAGGTACCTTATAATTGTTTTTGGTGGACAAAAGAAACGACGTTTTAGCGCTCTTCAAAGAGGGACATTGTGGAAATATATACCGAATATAACAACTTGTTATTGTTTTATTTAACACCAATTACATTATGAAATAAATATTAAATATTTTTAGTGAAATATGTTTAAAAAATGAAGGAGGAACCCCGAAATGGGGCCCCTTGCGCTGGTGGTCTTTTTATCTTTAAAGACATTTATAAGTATAAGCATTGCGAGTGCAACATTGATAAAATACGATAATTAAATACTGTTGTTGTTGAGGTGTCGTCGTGCAGCCGTCGAGTCCGTCAGTCCAGCAGCGCCACTCTCTTGGAGTTTGGGATAAAGTGTGTAGGTTGATCCAAATAAGTAACTAATGTAACAACAACAGTCGGTGACAACAGGCACTGATGAGTGATGACATAATTATTATTATGTAATATGACAATAACTTACTATACTTACTTACTTTATTGTACGCACAGGACCAGTAACAAATGACACAGCATGAGTAAAGTAGAATACAAGAAGGCGGCCTTATTGCTACATAGCAACATGTTCCAAGCAACACATGGAGGAAAATCTATACTTACTAATATTATAAAGCTGAAGAGTTTGTTTGAATGTTTGTTTGAACGCGCTAATCTCAGGAACTACTGGTTCGAAATGAAAAAATATTTTTTTGTTGAATAGACCATTTATCGAGGAATGCTTTAGGCTATATAACATCACGCTGCACCTATTAGGAGCGAAGAAATAATGGAAAATGTGGAAACAAAACTGGGGCTTCCGTTGCGTGCGCTGCGAAAACGGTTCAAGATACCAAAAATATATGTATGAAAAACTATGCTATGATAACAGCAATCGATACCCAATATTATATATAAAGAGGAAAACGTTGTTTGTATGTTTGTTTGTTTGTAATGAATAGGGTCAAAAACTAATGGACCGATTTTAAAAATTCTTTCACCATTCGATAGCTACGTCATCCACGAGTAACGTAGGCTGTATCTTATTTTTCTTTGAAATAGGGTTCCGTAAGATATTTGGGTTTTTCGGACACAAGGTGTAAAAAAATCAACAAGAAAAGTTACTTATTAAAATATAAAAGATAGAACCATAAAATGTTTTAATTAATTGTAGATCTTATAAATATCTACAAAAAAGTCCTCGACACATGTCGAGTAAGGCACAACAACCATTGTTTTATTTAAAATACTTGTTTTTTTTGGATTACATTTAAACGCGTTTATTTTACTCATGCTATTATTCCTCATCAAAATATTTCATGACTAAGTACAGTTTATGTCGATAAGAACGATTAAAATTGGACGTTTGGTTTTGAAGTTATGGCGAAATCAAAACATTACGATTTCCGCTGCCGTTGCAAAGTGGGCGTCACTGAGGCGGGGGTGCGCGTGCGGGGGGGGGAGTTTAGATCTACGAGTAAGGTGCCAGCAGACCACGCGGGCGAAGCCGCAGGCGGAAAGCTAGTATTAAATATAATGAAAAGTAATATGGGGGTATAGCTGCAATATATGAAAAAAGAACAGATAGATTCAAATACAGACCTATGTCGATTCTCGCGCGTTCAGTAAGGTTTATTAAAAACTAGTTAGCGCACATCTCAGTTGGCGTCACACTATCGGCACTCAGCAATAGTGCTATTAATTAACAAGATTTAGCGTAAGAGTAAATTTACGTTAAAATTGCAATTTTAGTATTAGTCCAAATTCGTGTTATACAAAGAATAAGCAAACTCACCACCTTCTAGGAGTAAATATTACTCCCATGGGACCTCGTACGGGGCTCTAACCTTTGCCAAGTCTCTGTTTAATAATATGAATTTTGACTAATACTTAGAGCAGTCTCAGGGTAAATTTACTCCAACGCTAAACCTTGTTAATTAGGTAATAACACTACACGGGTTTCAGGAGTGGGCGCTACAGATCTTATATACTCGTAGATATTAAAACGTACATTGTATCAATATCATAATATCCGATATCGATGCGCACAGAAACTATATATATTTTTTAAAATATTGATGCGATACGTTGGATTCGGTATCTCGCTCGATATCCGATATTTATAGATATGGGTTATCGAGTGAGTGAAATAGTAATATTCAAATATTCTTAAGATTCAAAACCTTAACTTATTAGAATTAAGGTTATTCCCATACTTTTGTGTGTATTTTGGCACGTATTTAAGCGTACGTTGGCCCCAACAATAAAGCTATTCTGCCTATAATTTGTAGGAGACTAAGGAACCGCTATCGGTCGGTAATATCTCTGCAACCTTGTCGGAACTAAAAATTTAATGGTATTTAACAATTCTGGACAATCAGTTAATTTATGATAATTTATAAACTTAAGTAAATATACAATAAGTATTCTACGAAGTTTCAATAGTTGTTCTACGGAGCATCAGTGGCAGCAAATTTTGATCTTTACTCACTTGGACGTATTCAAATGAATCATATGGTCTATACATCTTATAGCATAGAAACTTTATAAATTTCTTTTGAATGCTTTTAATTCTATCAATATAACTGGCATTTCAAATATTTCATATCTGAGACGCATATTCCAGTTGACCACGAACATAAGCACAGTATAAGATATTGAAAGTTTTAATTCGAGAAAAGCATGCCGAATTTCGCATCATAAACCCAAGTTACTTAGTGGTTTTAGAAATAATAGTGGATATATGAGAGGCAAATATAAGCTTGGAATCGTGCGTGGTACCCAAGTCCCTAATCTCACTCATTTTAGCATACATATATCTAATTTTAACATATATCTTCATATCGATAGCGAAGAAAAGTACTTAAAGCAACTTCCTATCTATGACAACTGCTTGAGACCTGGTTGTTGCAAATGTAGGATGTAACCTCCTCAACAAGCCAAAAGTATGTCGTGATCAATTCTATCGAACGCTTTTGTATAGTCAGTATAAGTATATATAGATGACATCTTTTTGAGATCCGTCATCCATAGATTTTGATATATATTAGTTAATTAATATAAGATTAAAAACTGTAGACCTATGACTCATAAACCCGTGGTGGTAATTAGCTAAAATCTTTTATGGCGTTGAATAATTGAGTGTAAATAATTTTCTCTAGTACCTTAGCTACTACACACAACTTAGAGATAGACCTATAATTCATTACTTTAGGCCTACCCCCCTTGTTAAAATGGGTGTAACAAATGCCTACTTCCAAATATCTGGTACTTTGCAGTCAGACAGGAAACGCTGGAATAAGAAAGAAATGGGCTTAGTAATGCTGACAGCACAATTGACCAAGAATTGGGCTGGAAAATGGTCTGGGCCTGCTGATTTACTTATGTAAAGTTTAGAGAGTAGTTTGAATACCATACCGTATCGATTATGATCTTGGAAATATCAGAAATGGTATCAATACTCTTGTCAGAGTCGAATCTTAAACGAGCTGCTGTTCTAGGTAAAAAATTGTTTGAAAGTACTTCGAAAAGGCATTGCAAATATTGGCACCTGTGTTAACTACTGTGTACCCTATATTGAAGGTTACTTGGCATACTACCAATGTCGGAACGAGATTTGATAAATGACCAAAAAGCTTTAGGCTGAATAGTTACGTAATCTTCAATAAGTCGGGTATAATTATGCAAGCATTGTTTCTCTAACCACTTCACACGGTTCCTTTGATACTCAAAGGACAATAAGTCGCATCTTTTGTCATATAATTTGAATTTAATAAGATATTTCAGCTTTAGTCAACTTAATTGTAAAAATGAATATTACCAGTTTCGCGTGCATATGTATAATAAGTTTGCACGTTTGATCTGCGATTGTTAAGATAAGCGACTTTTAGTCGGTAGTCGGATGGGTGACCTTTTTTTTATTTTGCTGAGCTGGGTGGAGTGAAACATGCATTTACAAAGAATAAACAACGTTCCTAAAGGTCAGTAATGGGACGGGTGATTAATTTTTTTTATTTGACTGAATGGGGTAGGACAGGCACTGCCGGAAGTGGCCGGGTTCTCTTCTGTTTTTCTATGTGTACCGTTGTTACTAACTATCAAACGCTCTACCGTTTGATCTGCGATTGCGAAGATTAAGCGACGTTCGCAAAAGCCAATAATGGGATGGGCGATCAATCATTTTTATTTAGCTGAACGGGGTGGTGGTAGGGCGGAGCGGGGCATGGCGAGTATTTGCTCTCTTTGCTTAGAAACGAGTAAAAAAATTTTGTCACCCATCCGATTAATGACCTTTGCAAACGCCGCTTATCCTCTACAATCGCAGATCAAACTTGTTAACTACTTCAGCATCAAGTCAATCTACCCCGCATTTCTGACTGGACCCACGTGTGGTGGTGCTAAAACACAGATATTCTTAATAGATGAAAATATTCCAACCAGCATTCCACCGATATTAACAGATTGTACAATCTCATGAGCAAACACTTGCGTTTTTCCATACATTTTATAAGTGCGTGCGATTCGTGCGATATCGCTCATCGATATCGAATAACATCGCATCTAGCCTCAAGAAAAGCACCTTAGGTTACTTTCCATTCGCATAAAGTCACGGGCACAACTAGTTTAATATAATTCTAATTTACTACTTTTCAGCACTAATGATATGGTGATAATGGGACTGTTTCAGAATGGATCATGCCAAGAAAAACATACATATTTCCTATGGATGACGAAAATATTAGTGGAGCTGTGTTGAAAACACAGTATTGTGGACTCGTGACCTTAAACAAGTTGTCGAAAACTCGGAACGCTTCAAAATACCTAGTCTCACAGAGTGCAAACTTGTCATATGGCTCTTAAATTGATGTAGATCCACCACCAACATACATTCATCGGACGTTGATTTTAGCTTTCGACTTGAATCTCATTAACTACATTAATGTGACATATACTTATATTCGTGAACTGGAGACGTTTATCTAAACATCCTACCTAATTTTTTTTCTCTAGGCCGTGGGTATAGATCTCATACTATGCTGCCCAATGCCCTTTCCTTACAGCAAGTGGTCTATCCGCTCACAAAATCAAGTTCAATGTGTACACATAATGCTAATGAGAAACATTTCTCCACCGAAGTTTTGCAACAGAACTCATCTTAAATTATGGCTCTCCAGAAGAATATTATAAAAGCAGATTTACTGACCGGCTGTGGTACGGGTCAAATTGTGCTAATAACCAAACCGCGCATACTACTTATGCCCAATAATTTTCCGTTTGAATTCAAACGCACCCAGTTGCATGTGGGTATTTGCTTCACCATGACGATAAATAAGTCATAGGGACAGACGCTCAAAGCGTTGGTGTGGACTTAAGGACTGGTTGTTTTTCCCAAGGATAGCTGTACGTAGATTTTTCATGAGTCAGTAATGCTGCGGGTTTGTTTATATTGGCCTCTGAAGGAAAATAACAAAGAGATTCTGTGAATTTTTAGTCATCGGATAACTATTTCATAAAGTCGCGGGCACCAGCTAGTACTATTAATTGATTTAACGATATTACAATTTTTCTTTCATTCCCCTACTTATTTTAATTCCTCTTTAATTATTATTACTTTAACTACTAAGTATGGCCACACAAAATAGGTTCAAAGTTAATAGGACACGTCAATCAAACGCTACTTCATATCTAGAGGGCTGCGACATGTCACCGTCGGCGTCGGTACAACTTGAGGACAAGTTTACTAGAGGGGAAAAATGTTTGTTCACCCATCTGGTGGTGACGTTTCTGTTGGTCCTGACGCTGGTGGTGGTGTACTTTGTGCACCTGTGCCTGGTACGGCACGGCGCTGGCGATGCGTTCAGGTTCACTCGCCGTATGGCGTCGGCCTCTGGAGGTGAGCCACCATCAGCATCATCATCGACAGACTATTAAATTCCAATTCAATATCATTTATCCAGTCTAAGCTGTTACAAAGCTCTTGTGAATGTCGAAAGATATGCCATCGGTTCACATATCTACAGCGGAAGACCTTGTACTGAGAAGACCCGGCAAAAAACTCGCCTAGGGCTACTTTTCGGAGAAGTCTAATTGGAATGTGACTTCTTGAGACTGTGTAAAAAAATCACTTTCTTTTAGGTATTATATCAGTTATAACAAAACAAATATACTTTCGATTATCTTTTAACATGCCGAGATATAAACTGATTGACTTAGAGTATTAATATCTAAGCTCATTTACAACAAAATATTACTCTAACTCAACACAGAGAGAACGAACCCAGTTCTTCTGCCAGTGCAAATCGAAGAGTGCTAACTACTATGGATATGGATACTATGGATCCTATGACCTACCCACTGACGCGGAATTTGCTAATCCTGCCACGAAAAATGTTATCAATAAAACCTCACCCAATGTTCAGATATGTTTTTTGAATTTATCTCCTTAGTATCTTTTTTATTTATTTTTTTGATGTTGGTTTTAGTAGAATGTTAATTCAAAACCTTTTTGATGCCTATATAAATGTCACGTCAGGATCGCAAGCTTTAAGTAAAACTTAGAATAACTTCCGAGGCTTACATACATTCCCGTATGTAAGCCTCAGACGTTATACTGAGATATAATCTATGCCAAATTCTTACGTGGCAAATTCATTTTTAATAAATTTTATCATTGGTACGCCTACCTCGGTGTAGTTTGTTACAGAAGCAGAGCAGGCTGCAGCATACCACGTGGGCATGGTTTATGTGGGTGGCGGTGGCGGCGGGAGCGAGGGGAGGCGCTGCGTGTGTGGGTGCGTGGTGGTGCGTGCGCGCTGGTCGGCGGCGCCCGCGCGTTGCGTCGCCGCGCGCACTCACCCCGCCCTCGCCACGTTACTGCCCTCATGGAGCGCTCGTGTGACGGATAGGACGGGCCGACACATAGGTCAGATCATTAACAAAATACATCGAAGACAACTTTTACAAGCTTATCGCATATCACTGGAAGGGCGGACAGGCTACAGACCAGTTGAACTTTTACAGTTTTTTCTACATTTAAATTTTATTATTTTTCTTGTTGCAATCTCTTTACCTATTTGTTGTTACTCAACAAGATTTCTGAATGAATTTTCGAAGAGTCTATTTAAGTGCTAAAATCGTTAAAATTTTTTTAATAGGTACTACAGTAATCGTAATTGAGTGTGTTAAAAATCCAAATCCAGGCCCGGATATGGGGGTGGGAATGTCGAGTGGGGGCACTTGCTCAGAGCACCAGCGCCAGCACCAGGGGACCTATTTACAGTTAAAAAAAGCTGATGCGGCATACATGCTTCAAAATCCCGAAAAGATGTAAAAGAAAAATATCATACGCTGCAAATATATTATAATATAAAATCCGGCTTCACGGATCGTAGGGCGGAAGGGAATTACAGAAAGGGCCCCGTATGAAGTTTCTGCCGGCATTAAAAAATCGTAGATCTGGGCCTGTCCGGTCTTTATCTGGCCGGTTCTTTCTGGTGTGGTCATGACAACGTGACTATTGCACGTAACTGCTGGTGGGGCCGATCCAGACCGAATGTATGGATAGTTTCACGTGAAATTATTTCTACATCAGTTTAACCTATTAAGCATGAGGCGAAAAATTAAAAGAAAAGAAACTCTATTATTGTAATGTATAAATCGATACACAGACATACTGATAATATATCGGTTATAATATTTGGTCACAGAAACTAGCATCATTAGAAGCGTGGTCCACTCGCATTTCAACAGAGATGATTCACTAAACGACATCGGCTTGTTCCAGCACAAGGATTCTATTGATATCGAAAATTATCACTGTGAGTAATTAATCAATCATCTTTGTACTTATTTCATTACTTGTTACATACAAATAAAGTAATTTCTTTAAATAAATACCTATTGTAATGTTAGGCTTTATCGTATTAAGATGCCCTTTTGCACATAACAAAATAGTTCGACGATGGACATTGCGACATTACAATATAAAAGTGCTAAATGATTTACTGCTCTGTTGAGAGAAATAATATTAATAAAGAACATTTCCTTTTCTGTTTCATTATACATTCTAAACCGATCCACTGAATATAAATAAAATACCTTTTATAAATATGATTGGCTCTAAATTCAGTTTCAAGGCCACCTAGTCAGGTAAGGTTAGATTATTTGGTATGGAGCTTTAAGATCCCGTACTGCCCCCGAATCCGCACTTGGATCCGCTGTGCCCTTTTATTCATTGCAAAATTACATTGTTTCATGACAAACTAATTATTGTAGACTTTTGTCACATCGATAGGTTAGTCCAGAGTTTATAGTCGTGCCCATAACAGCACGTATCACTACTATGCTGTCCGATAAGATCCTGGTCTCGTTGTGTTGATAATGCCAGAGCTTTCGCATGGAAGATCGATGCGTGTCTGTCTGACATTGAGTATGTACCAAATCCAGTGCCATATTCGGTTTTGGAACCATCTATAAACATCCTAAACTCCACAATGCCGGAGTAGTTATTGCCGGATTCTTCCAGCGATATTCTGTAGTTCTTCTCAAAAACATGTTGTTTGAGATTTTGTCATTAGGCGCTTCTATGAGTGGCTCATATCGAATAGCTTCCATTAGAATTCTTCTAAATAGGCAGATAGTACAATGGGAAAACGCGAGTAGTTGAGATTCTACAGACATTGGATTATTACATAAATAATAGCCTAATTGGCCTACTAGTGTTTGACCCCTTTTGCTAGGGCGAGTGTGGTGCCGAATGGACGTTGACGTCTTAACTTGCTCTATTCGGCGATTATTTGTAACAGCATCAGTTCGTTCTTCGTTGGATTAACTTTTAGTCCGTGAGTGTCACACTTTTCTTCAACTACCGTGAGTGCGTCGTTCATCACGTCTGTTATTGTCCCTAGAAAAATTTCCAATGCCCAAAATATAGAGATGATTATCCGTGCAACCTACGGTGTAATACCTCTTTTGATTTAGCTTCTCTATGAACTCGTTCATCGCGAGGTTCCACAGAAGACTTAGCTAACTACCAACAGTAACATCTAAAGAGCGAAAATCGAACATACATAGAAGCGAATATATCAAACAGATATCACTATGTACGAGTATATACAGGCAAAAAGAAGAAATTAGATATACGGTGTAATGATTAGTTTGTTAGATAATAATGTATGTATTTTCAGACAGGAAGGTAGGAATCGATGATGACTTCCTGCAAACGTATGCGGACAGACTGACGGTGGTGGGCGGGCCGGCGCCGGCGCCGAAGAGCGCCCGGGGCAGTGCAGGTGACACCTCACACGATACTTACCTCAGATGCGGCTCATTTCATACGAGTATATTCATTTGAAGTCGGGTGATTAATTATAATATCAATAACCTATACAAAATTTCCGCCAAAAAATAAGAATAAATAGTATATTGAATAGCCTATATGATCAATAAGTAGCAAGCATCTTATAGGCTGTACTATTTTTAACATCGAAATCTTCTGTAAGTACCTCCTATTTATTTTCATTTCCTGAAGTTAGTTTTACTATATCTTCGTATAGAATTTATGTGATATTATACGTGTAAATTAAGACTAAATAACTAATTAAAAAAGCAAAACATTATTTTCTTTTTCTAGGTCCCTATCTAAGAACTAAATTTTCGAAATAAGACTACCTACTATATAAACTTTAGAAAGATGATGTACTTCTCCCATTCGGAAATACGGCTTATTAGAATGTCAATCAATGTTATAAACCAATAGAAATTCAGTGAACATGAGTACAGAATATGGCGTAATAGGGTGTAGGTACTGTACGCGCCCTCTTAAGCTAAATCACTTTCTCGTAACACTGAAAGGCCTTGTCGTGTGTTTGGAGTGTTGTGGATTACGCTCCGTCAGTCAGTGTGTAGTTACGTTATTACTGTCAGATGGCATGTTGTGGAGGGCGCGAGCGTCGCCGGTGTCGCGGGAGGTGTGCCGTCACCACGTGGCACCGGTCATGGAACTGCGCGACCACGAGCTGTGCGTCACACTGGACACCACTCCACCGCAAGCGCTGCTCGGTGAGACCATGTTCATTTATACAACTGGTCAACAGACAGAGATCACCTCACTCACAAAATAATTCATGAACATTTGATAGAATTATTTGAATTCTTTTCCAATTTGGTATTTTATACAATTTCTCCACTGTTGTTTTTATTTTAAAATAACACCCTTTTCGGACGTCTAATATGACAAATATGCTTCAGTACACATAGAATTTCGTTCAAATAAGGTACCGTTTACTAAACCCCGATTCGTGTAATAAAAATTACCCAGCCACGTTTAAAAGCATTATTTTTCAATATTTAAAGTCGGTTTAGTTTTAAAAAATTATGAAATCCTTAAATAAATTAAACTATGTAGGTACAAAATAACCTACTGATCCCATTGTAATGGAACCCTCTCCATAATATATTGTTTCAAGTGAAAATATAATCATCGAAACGATCCACCACTGATCGTGGAACATATACACAAAAACACATAACAGTCAAACTAAGAATCTCCTCATTTCTTCGAGTTGGTTAAAAACTTATTTTAATAGGGAAATGCATAAAGAAGAAATATATATATACTAATTTTGCAGACTGAGAATAACATCTTGTTCGTGATTACCAACTGCATAGCAACTTTAGAATAAAATAAAATACAAATTAACTTTAGAATAAAAATACAAATTGACGATTTAATGAACACTGCAAAGAGAATTTAAGTACGCCCTTATAATTAATTATTATCAATATACTCTATGACATTATTCTTTGTAAATGTATGTTTAAAACTCAACACCAACAGTTGAGACTAGAGATTATATAAATAAAGTTTCAATTAAAAAACGATAAAGCAGGTAGTTACAAAATGCCTACTCTTATTATTTGACGACGTGTGAATAACCTACCTTGTCAATGTTAACCGACGCATCTGTGGCAGGTGTCGGTGCGGCGCTGGTGGTGGACTCGTACGTCATAGGGTTCTACTCGTGGGGGAGCGAGCGCGGCGACTTGCCTCTTATTATATTGAATATGGCACACTACCAACGATGGATAGAAAACATTGTTAACTAATGATATTATCAAAATTAATATACTGACACAAAACTTTATATTTTTTTTTTCATTAAATTACCTGTTATTTATACTGATATTATAAAGGTTAAATATTTAATTGTTTTATTTACCGAGTAGCTCAATGGCGTAGTGGATATGCGCCGCGACACGCGATCGTTGTCGTTTAGCAACTTTCGCAAGGGTTGGTCACGGGATGGGTGACCAAAAAATTATTATCTCGAGCTACTCCGTGCTTCAGAAGGCACGTTAAGCCGTTGGTTCCGGCTAAATTTGTAGTCGTTACTACCCTCCAATCCGCATTGGGCCAGCGTGGAGGGTCATAGGTTCCCAAAATAAACGACCGATTTTAAAATTATTTTTACCTGCCGCAAGCTACACCATATGCAGGTGACATAATTTACAACGTAAACGGGTGAAGTCACGGAACATATTATAATAATATATGAGAATAACATTAACAGACAGCGATACCAAATCTCATAACTAATCAATTTATACAATTTATTAAGTAGTAAGTAAGTAGTAATTGTTAAGTCTGGATAATAAAGATTGTAACATATTGTTTTTAATGGGTAATAAAATTTACCTATAAATATAAAATTATGATCATACTACGAGTAGCATCCTTATTTAAACAATGGAGGTGACTTGGGAAAAATTTAGAAATATGTGTTTTATCATTTATACCAAGACATTCCTATGTCAATTTGCAGACTTCTAGCATCATAATTTCCGGCATCATAATTTGCGGCAGTCTAATACAAAGTTCCACCCCATAGATTAAGAGATTAAGAAGATGGGAAGTTGTGTGGGTGTTTGAAACTAATATATGGCATTTAATATTTTGTAGCGTGGAGTCAACATTTTATAGGAGGCGGTGGCACGAGCTTAGCGACCGTTGTGTGCAACTGTTGACGACATTGTATTCATTGCCATTATGTTTTTGTCAAGTAGATAGATTCGAAAGTCCAAAAGTATAATCATCAATTAATAATTATAGGCCTTGCATAATTTTGAGTCGAGAACTGGCATTAATTTGATAACTTTAAGTGACCTCCATGTTAGCATTTCACTATAAGTACCTGCCGCCTGCCGCACGCACCGCGTACGCGCGTGCAAACAGGGCGTGAATATATTTATAATTTATTTTCGACAAAAATCCCCCGGGCATATTATCCACCTAACTTACGTGCAAATAGCAACGAATTTTTTAAACGTTAATTTTATTAAATACGTATTAGATATTCTTCATGCAAAATGCTTATAATATCCACTTTGATACTTTAAGCATATTTCATTAAGGATATTTTTCAGTATAGTATTGTGAATGCAACATTGATCAAATATAATAAATAACCATTTTTTTTGTAAAAATCATTGTAGACATAAAAAATACGTATAATTTACAATAAAAATTTATTAATACATAATTATAAACAACATTTTATTACGTCACATGGTCCCGTTTTATAAAAAAAAAAATACTCCCAGACTATAAGCAAAAAATGATAATTAATACGAGGAGTAAATAACATCTAATAATGAATCATCCATTGTCTGAATTTCTAAATATAAAACTTAGTTAAATTATATGAAGCGTCGGTTTATTGATGGGGGGCGAGAAGCGTCCCCCGGGCTTCAGGCACAAAAAAAAAACTTGTTTTAACAATATTTATTTATTTTAAATCTCAGGTTTAGGTTGACAGAATCGCTCGCTATGGTCCTTGTGACTTTTAATGGCGAGGACTTATCTTTAAAGTTGAAAAGGATTTAATGTCGAGGTCGCGAGGTTAGCGGGTCACGGGCCGGGCAGAGGCTGGTACGGGTATAGACCCGACGTCAGCTCCGGTCGACAGCACTGGTGAACCACGAAGACTCCACATGTAGAACGCAGAATAGCGTAGGTCAGGCGGGCTCCGGTGGTAGAACCCTGTGAACATAAATACAGCCCCTGAACAGAAGTTCAATAGTCCAGCTACTTGTGGTCTAGAACAAATAAGCTGCTGTTGCTATAGCTTCTATAAAATCTACCCTTATATATATATAAAACTTTATATATATTATATATAATATTCGCAACTAACCATAGCATAACCCGGGAATCGAACCCGAGATGGAAATAATCCCAGATAGCATACTAACTTGGGGCAAGTTTCATTTTTCTTTGATTCTAATATTGTTATCTTAAATATGAAGTTTCAAGTTTGCGACAATATTGTTTTAATATTGTTATGACAAAGATACTTATATGTAACACATCCATCATCTTCATAGATGTTTAAAGCTTTATCCCGGGGATAACGGCTAACATCTTGACGTCACCATTCATCTAAGTGAATAGGTACGTCTGCGCTGCCCCCCCCCCCTTTGCGGGAGGGGCAGTCGCTCCGATGAAGGTTCGTTGCCCCTTCAGGGCACGTAACCAACTGTCCAAGGCGGTGTTTAGTCAGTAGGACCCTGACATAACCTTACAGCCGGCTGTGAGGTATCCAATGAAGGATTCACTGCCTCCTTCCTACGCTGGGAAGGTGGATCCGAACCCTTAAGGTTGAGAACCGAAAAAAAAGGGATCTTAATATGGGATTCGAAACCAACCGTTCCAGTTAATCACTTCGACTCTCAGGCCAGGCTATGTGCTGTGGTCTGAGTTTAAAATCGCAATCGCTTTTGGACCAAAAGTTTTGAATGATCAAAAGATTAGTAAACTTAAAGTAATATTTGCCTCGAATCCTATATTCTAGGTACTCGAGTACCCGTGTACCTGCTAGGTATTCGAGTCAGTACCTAGGAAAATTATTATTGCTACTACGGCAATAGTGATATTAAGTTTGTCACACTGAAACTAGACAAACTTTTATACTTGCTGCAAGTTGCTGCAGTTGTCATAGCAAACTTGAAGCAAGTTTGCACAATCAGTACCGTTAGCAAATAAACACTGGTTTAAGTGTACACTTATTGACTTTGGTTTTTGTTTTATTGTTATTTGTTATGGTTGACTAAAATAGCAACTGCTATTATGATTTCCACGATAAGTAAACCTGATTTCATTAAAAATGTTTTCATAATTACTTTTTGCGATTTTTTTTATTTTCTATTTAACTCAATATTAACATATCGACGCTGGAAAGCAAACACGTAGTAACCCGCAAAACCAAAATTCTTCTTTAGAGCAGAAATACTTTTATTTTTTTCGATAAATATTGCTATAAAGTCCATGGTAACAAATAAGGTATTCCTTCTTTTTGTTATATTTTTTTTTAATATAAAGATTTTCCACTCCAAATATCCATTTTGGTTATGCAGGTTACTACGTGTCTGCTTTCCAGCGTCGATATAAATTGACCTTTTTCGGATTTTTTGCGATAAATTCATGAACTAAACTTTTATAAATTATAACAATATTTTGGGGATTATTCATTTACATATCAAAAATTAATAAATAATAATCTCTTGCGATTTGTGCTATCCATACTTTTTATTTTCAAATGATGTCATGCGGGTTCCAGCGCATTAGCAATTCACGGGAGTTATACTAAGCGAATAGTATTAGACGCTAGTGAAAATCAAAATCGTGTTTCCAATCATTTGGAAAATTACACCACTTGATTGTAATCTGAATGAAGTCACTCAAATTCATAATTTTAAATTATTAGAATTACTCATCGTAATGAGTGTACTGAGAGATTCTTAAGTTACAAAAACTACTGTAATATAGATTGTCAGAGTAATTTTTAAAATAAACTATATTAGCATCAATCCAATCGTTATTAAACAAAATTAACAAATAAATATATATTTTTACTTACTGCATCCGTTAAATTTATTATAATTATTGACTACAAATATGTCCAAACAACAAATCACTCTGGCAATCAAGGTTACATATATTTTATAGCAAATTTACTTCAAATATAAGCAATCCACAAAAAGTTAAATTACCACATACATAACACAAAATATTCCACCAAGTTCATACTGAATATTTTGAATTTTTATAATGGATAAAATATTTTTTCTCGTTTTATCGGTTTTAAGATCAAGACAAATATGTGTTCACAACACTAGAGCAAATTATTCTACTTATGGCTTTATGATTACTCTTTGGCTATTACCATAGATAATACATAAGCTATTATATTACTCTGTGTAAAAAAAATATAGTAGTTTCTTAGATATTTCATGAAAGAAATTGCTAATTTTTAGAATTATTTTATTTAATTCAATTGTTTATAATAAAAAATCACTTGGTAAGTTCCAATATAAATTGCTACAATTTTTTTAAATTAGGAAATATACTTGATCTATGTTATTAAACATAATTATAAGTCCACACGTGTCGCTGTTATTGAGCCGTTTTCTATCTTTAAGAGTTTTTAACGTTTTGTTCGTTATAGTAAACTTTTTGTGTTACATTATTGGTACACTTAATATGAAATCAATAAATAATAATGCAACATTAAAACTGATAGCGTTTATTATCTATATACTGACGTCGGCGAAATAACGGTTCTTTTTCTTACATCTATCTTTTGTTGTGTGTAATGTAGGCTTGGTTTCCAGATTTATTGTTTATTAATTTTAATGTTATAAACTGACTCTGATACTTAGTTAAGTACATTTTATTATTTTTATTGTACTTTATAGTACAGAATTGCTAGGCGAATGTATTTATTAAATAAATATAGGCAAAACTCATATCAAATGTACTATTTTTATTTTATTTAAAGACTTGAAGTATTTCTATAGTTGTATTATTGAGAATATATTTAAATAGAGTACTTAAATTCACTTTTGACAAATCTTTAAAATGGACATTTAAACCTTATTTCTAAGTTTAATGAGAATTTGTTAGTTCTCTATTTTGTTTGCTGATTGTTGTACCTAATTACATATAATTACCAATAAAGTAATTATGTATCAAAATAAAACATATTTTGTATGTTTATGTTCTCAAAACTATTGTATATCAAGGATATACAGAAAATAAAAAAGCAATC